GACAAGCGACTCGAGCGCGCCGGCATAATCAAAATATTCCGAGGCGTTCCGTCACCGGTGCACCACCAATGCCTATGGTCACTCACGCTTGGCCTCGTGCGCATTTTTCGGAAATGCTGTTGCGCTGCTAATGCTATGGTCCGTTCATTTCGTTTCCCTGCGTCACCAAACTACGGGGTAGAAACGACAAGGCTAACAAGTGCTGGGCCCTTCCGCTATGGCGGGTAGCAAGACTTGGCCATGTTTGTCTCCCATTCCGCCAACACTGTGAATATTTTACCGTCGTTCGTTGCACCACCACAAGCTGGGTCAAGACCGAAACAGAGCGTCTTCGACGAAACGAGCCAAGTGACTGTCTCCTCAGGGCCGCTGTGACTATTCGACAAGGAGCACGCCAGGACTTGAAGCTGCCGGTGAACACACGGCCTTGAGCAACAGTCCTACAAAAGCATGCAACGAAGAGAACCAGGTAGCATTCCGACCACCAAACTGCTCGTGCTGTAGGCAATCAACGCCAAACCGACACGCTGGCATTTCTTTCACAAAAAAAACGTGGTAAGCGCCTTTGCTTTGGCCTTTAGGCTTTACTACAAGGAAAGGGTCAGGTGAGCTGCAGCGTTTTGGCGAACAAAAAGTGCACCAATGCCGCTTCTCGGATTGGCTTCTCGTTTCCACCATGTCAACTGCACGGACTGTGCAGTCAAACGTAGAAATGAGCCACACGTACACGTAGATCTGTAGTGTAGACCCTACCATGCGCTCGGTTACAAGCAGGGGGGGGGGGGGCACTATTCAAGAGACACAGAGAGCTCTATTTTTCCACTGGCTCTAATAGTAATACTGCCATTTATTAGTTACCATTAGTACTGGGGCGAGATTGGGCACTATTCCAGAGAGGGCTCTAATCGCGCGAGTACGGTACCTACGTGAAGATATCACATTATATTATAAATTTTAGTAAATTATGATGTAGATCTACATGATTGTACAAATTAAAAAAATACATTCTGCACCTCCATGCCCTCCATGCCCTCCATGCCCTTGCCCTTGTATTTTCCTGGTTTTTGTTTTTTGTTTGTTTTTGTTTTTGGTGTTTTTTTTGTTTCTCGTTTTTGCGTTTTTTCACACATACAATTGTTTTCATTTTTTGGTGTTGTGTTCTAATCATTCGCCATGCCACTGTCAATTGTATTCTGTTTGCCCGTAAAAGAGGCCTCGTTTTGTACCTCCATGAATGAGGCATGAGCGACACTGAGGGCGCGTTCGAAATGTCTTCATCAATTAAACAAATGTTATAAAGAGATTAGTTGAAGTGTCCCATTAGACCTTTTTCTATCATTTTAGAGTTTTTCAGTGGAATTGTCATAGCGATGATGACGTCCGATCAGATCGACCATCTCCACGTACTACATGACGTAGCTATTCCAAACTGTTCGAAACTAATCAACCTCTTCCATCGGATGAGGTTGTGGAATTTCGAGGAGTTTCGAGGAGCTCCGTTTTTCTGAAGAGGCCAATAAGCCTTAAGGCCACCTCTTCAGAAAAACGAAACTCCTCGAAAAGTCAAACTCAAAGAGTGACAATTCGAACGCGCCCTGACTCACGCTGCTATCTGGTGTTCACGAAGTGTTTGTCGCACTGGAAACGGAGCGCCTCTGCAAGTGTAAGTTTGTATTCCTGGTGATGTGTGTGCCCGGAGAGCACTATTATGAGTAAAGTAATAGTTTAAATAACCGACGAGGAGACAACAGTCGTAAAATAGCAATGAAAAATATCAATTGTGCACTCATAACCATGTATAAACAATTAAAATGAAACAATTCCAGAACGTTTTCGTGTGACCATCATCAGTGGAACATCGTCACATAGTAAGAATCACTAAACAACCAGTTATATAGCTAGAGTAATATGAAAAGAAGCGTGAGAATGCAGCACAGCTAGCGGTTATGCATAACGCGTGCAGTGTGAACCTTTGCAGTGTATCTGAGAATGGTAGCAGTAGATGAATGTGGCAGCTGTGAGTGCGTGTCAACAAAAAGAAAATGTTGTAGCACTCACACTTTTTAAATAATACGCACTCACCAGTTTTTGTTCACACGCACTCACAGCTGCCACATTCATCTACTGCTACCATTCTCAGATACACTGCAAAGGTTCACACTACACGCGTTATGCATAACCGCTAGCTGTGCTGCATTCTCACGCTTCTTTTCATATTACTCTAGCTATATAACTGGTTGTTTAGTGATTCTTACTATGTGACGATGTTCCACTGATGATGGTCACACGAAAACGTTCTGGAATTGTTTCATTTTAATTGTTTATACATGGTTATGAGTGCACAATTGATATTTTTCAAAGTAATAGTTGTATCACCTTTAGAACTTTTGTCACCTTCAAATTTCTTTGGGGATGCCACTGTCTTTTCTATGTTGAAAGTGGGCCACTTTACCTTGTAAATATACTCATATCAACTATTCATTCGTTATCTGCCTCCGCCGAGGAGCTCTAATTAGCGAAACAGCTGTCTAGAGGATATGGAACATCTATCCAAGAACGAACTTCCTCGCTATGGAGTGGTGTTGTGAATGTGGAACTTCCTCGCTATGGAGTGGTGTTGTGAATGTGGAACTTCCTCGCTATGGAGTGGTGTTGTGAATGTGGAACTTCCTCGCTATGGAGTGGTGTTGTGAATGTGGAACTTCCTCGCTATGGAGTGGTGTTGTGAATGTGGAACTTCCTCGCTATGGAGTGGTGTTGTGAATGTGGAACTTCCTCGCTATGGAGTGATGTTGTGAATGTGGAACTTCCTCGCTATGGAGTGGTGTTGTGAATGTGGAACTTCCTCGCTATGGAGTGGTGTTGTGAATGTGGAACTTCCTCGCTATGGAGTGGTGTTGTGAATGTGGAACTTCCTCGCTATGGAGTGGTGTTGTGAATGTGGAACTTCCTCGCTATGGAGTGGTGTTGTGAATGTGGAACTTCCTCGCTATGGAGTGGTGTTGTGAATGTGGAACTTCCTCGCTATGGAGTGGTGTTGTGAATGTGGAACTTCCTCGCTATGGAGTGGTGTTGTGAATGTGGAACTTCCTCGCTATGGAGTGGTGTTGTGAATGTGGAACTTCCTCGCTATGGAGTGGTGTTGTGAATGTGGAACTTCCTCGCTATGGAGTGGTGTTGTGAATGTGGAACTTCCTCGCTATGGAGTGGTGTTGTGAATGTGGAACTTCCTCGCTATGGAGTGGTGTTGTGAATGTGGAACTTCCTCGCTATGGAGTGGTGTTGTGAATGTGGAACTTCCTCGCTATGGAGTGGTGTTGTGAATGTGGAACTTCCTCGCTATGGAGTGGTGTTGTGAATGTGGAACTTCCTCGCTATGGAGTGGTGTTGTGAATGTGGAACTTCCTCGCTATGGAGTGGTGTTGTGAATGTGGAACTTCCTCGCTATGGAGTGGTGTTGTGAATGTGGAACTTCCTCGCTATGGAGTGGTGTTGTGAATGTGGAACTTCCTCGCTATGGAGTGGTGTTGTGAATGTGGAACTTCCTCGCTATGGAGTGGTGTTGTGAATGTGGAACTTCCTCGCTATGGAGTGGTGTTGTGAATGTGGGTCAAGAGCTCAGTGTGGAGAGGTGGACGGGTTTTAGATTATTTTCAAATGGCCGAGTTGGTCGCTACTTCTGAATTATTTAGTCGTGCAGTTCTCAGTGGTCAGAGAGTCGTGAACACTGGATGAAGCTACAGATTGCACACAGTCATGTCATGTGCAGCATGCCGTCCATGGTGCACAGACATAATAGTTATTATGACATGATAATTATGTGTAACTAAAATTAATTGCTTACTTTTCACGCCTCCATTTTTATATATGGCCCACCCTGGCATGCTCTGGTCTGGTATGGTGACATCCTGTATGACCATGCAGTGACAATCCACGTCTTGAGCTTGCAAGTATTTGGGCTACTTCCAAGACCAAGTGCGTTCACGTCTAGCTTTGTGCAGCGTACGGCGCCATTACTGGCCGTTCTTTAGTTTAGATCAAGAGTCCATAAACCCAGGTGTTATGTCACATTGTACTCTTGTTTTAAACAGACCTAGCTTAGCTGTACAGAATCACTACTACAGATTACTTCAGGAATAATAATGTCTTTGCTCATGCAGTCTTGCTCAGTAGAAAAGTCACCCATGCATGCATGGTCTCTCTGCACACATGCATGCATGTTCTCTCTGCCGCAAATACATCCCCCAGTTCAGATTCACCATTGCAGGAGTTTAAAAAATTTCGGGCATAACTCACGTTCATGATTCAGGGTAAAAGAAAGAAAAATAACTATTTCCTGTGTAGCCCTGATGATTGGCCATGCAACGTTTTCAGCAGATCTCGGAGTCGATACCCTGGTTGACTGTTTGAGTAAATGTAATGTAATGTCTGTTACTACTACCAAGAGTACATGTACTCTTGCTACTGCATGTACAGTAAATGTAATGTAACGTCTGTTACCATGGTTACTACTGCATGTACAGTAAATGTAACGTAATGTCCGTTACCATGGTTGCTACTGCATGTACAGTAAATGTAATGTAATGTCCGTTACCATGGTTGCTACTACAGTAAATGTAAGGATGAATCAAGTCAAGCGCTTGGCAACACATTCTTGCCTGCTTTTAGCTTTACGCCCATGTTTCTGTAGCTGTGCTGGAACTGCTCTATTTCGCCGCCACTATTTACCATTAGCCATGTCTCCCCCCCCCCCCCCTCCTCCACCCTACACAGTGGGTCCATTGTTATTAGGCATGTGCCTGTTTTGCTTTCTCCACTATCAATAAAAGAGTACTACTAATTACTGGGATGATTATAAGTATTCACAAACTGCAATGTAGCAAATTGAGTTTGTGAATACTTACAAGCGTCCGTAGTAGCCTCGGCAACTACGCGTTGGCATGGAACCCATGCGGGAACCGCTGCTAACCACTACAGCCGGCCTTCAAGAACACATAAAGTCTGCATGCATGGCCTCCAACATCAACCGAGTAAGTTGCATCAGAGACCTGGTAAGTACCAGGATCTTGGAAACCACTCTTCAAAATAGAAGTGATGAAATACGGAAAGAACGAAGAGCTGAGTAAACTGACCCAGACTAGCGTCAACAACGTGCAAAACTCACAAAGAGGGCCTCCTTGCATAGCAAATGCACTGTCAGCTCTGTAAGCATGGCAGCAAATCTAGCGGGGGGGGAGGAGGGGAGGAGAGGAGGAGGGGAGGGGGGAGGAGGGGGGGAGGAGGGGAGGAGGGGAGGAGGGGAGGAGGGGAGGAGGGGAGGAGGGGAGGAGTTGGGGGGGAGGAGGGGAGGAGGAAGAAGCAACTAACAGTAAGCAGGACTTTGCTGGTGAAATGAGCAAATTTACAAAAGGCAGCAGGCGGCAAAAAAACCGTGATAAACATGAAGGACTTTGAGTCGGCAAAGATTGCAATGCTTCTAAAAAACTCGTCAACGACATGACTAGGCGAAGCAAAGACGGGGCAAGGTCATGTAGCGCAAGAAGCAGCAGAGAACTAGCAAGCATACACAATCATATAAAAAGTATGCACGAGCATACACAAGGATAGCCATGAGCATTCGAAAAGCTTACAACACTGGAACACACACATCAGACAGGAAGAGCTTAAAGCAGATCTACATTGCTTGACTTCACCGTATGGATAGGCACACCATTGCATATATGCACAAAAACTCCAACACAAACACACATTCACACAGATGCATTCACACTCACACACACACACACACAAACACACACACACACACACACACACACACACAGACACACACACACACACACACTCACAGACACACACACACTCACACACACACACTCACACACATTTTACACACACCAGGGATGCGATGTGTGTTAAGAGAAACGAGTGCGGCAGCTTTAGTACCAGGTACCACGGAGAACATTCATCATTGCGCTCATGTTGCGACCGTGCAAATGATAAAAGAGCAGCACTTGAGCAGGAAACTGCCAGTCATTTGTAACGAAATGGCAGTCACATGTGACAGGAAAATCATGACACTGGTTTCGGGAGAAGGACAATTTGCTGTACAAAACATTCAGGATGTGTGGCGAGGCAAAAAAAAACAAAAAAACATAGAAATGTATTGACATTGTGTATCACTTGCGCAAGTGGTGTAACCACTTTGAGGCGCAAACACGGTCTTGCGACTAGAGCCGGAATTGACGAAAAGGTGCGTCCCTGTGTCAGAAGCAAACAAATGAGTATCAAAGAGTGAAGTTCAGTTTCGCAATAATTATACATATGTTGTAACTATCCCGCTGGTGTGTCAAGGTGCCTAAGCTAAATAGGCCTGAACCATAGCAAGGTAGACACATTGAAAATGGTCAGGAGCCGCCAAAGGGACATGGCTCCACTTTCAGAAAGGGCTACAATGGTGAAAATCACAGTCGAATTCAAGGCCCTTGATGAATAGCACTACCGTGCTGCTTGATGAAATACGGTCTCTTAAATCAAGTTCCCGGGATACCCTGATGCCGTCAATCCTTTTTCTGCAACTTGTCCTCACCCACTTACTGAGGTGTGGTGAGCCCATAAGTGGGATCATTTCAAGTCCACCCTAGTTTGGGGATTTCAGGGGGTGTCGGCCGCTGGGTGGTTCAATGGCCAATTTAGTCATCTTTCCAAGATTCCTTTTGAGTCTCTCTCCCCTCTCCCAGGGAGACCCACGTGACCAGTTTTGGCAGTGAGCAAGTACAAGTACAAGTGTGTGCATATGTGTGTATGTGTGTGTGTGTGTGTATGTGTGTGTGTGTGTGTATGATGATGGCCCACCATCATGATGTCCGTCGGCTGGAGTCCTTTCACCTGCAGTGCGTGCGTTCCATCCTGAAGATAAATCGTGGCCGGCAGATCGAGGAGCACATCTCCTCTCTCCAGGTTCGCAGGATGTGGGGCGATATGGAGGAGATCGCGGATAAAGTCAGAGTCCGCCGACTTCAATGGCTTGGCCACGTGTCCCGCATGCCAGATCGGATCCCTCGTCAGCTGCTGTACGGCGCATTACCCTCCAAACGTCCACCGCATGGACCCCGTAAGCGCTGGAAGGACTCCGCGAAGTGCGACTTGATGGCTGTTGGCGTTCCTCTGGAGCAGCTTGGTGACATCGTCCAAGATCGACAGGGATGGCGAGTCACCTGCCGTGATGCTGTCGACGCTATTGTCCAGTCCCGCATGGAGCCTGTGGCGAAGCCCCTCATCTGTGGCACTTGTGCGCGCAGTTTTCGTCGGCCACGGGACATTGCGAGGCACAAGTGTAACGCTGTTCGCGCGGCCCGCGCGCGCTGAGTATGGCGTTCCCCGCCCGGTGGACAACACGTCTCCTGGTCTGCCCCGTATGGGGCCACATAGCCAGTCATGGCAGTGGAAGAAGGAAGGAAGGAAGGGTGTGTGTATGTGTGTGTGTGTGTGTGTGTGTGTGTGTGTGTGTGTGTGTATGTATGTGTATGTGTGTATGTGTGTATGTGTGTGTGTGTGTGTGTGTGTGTGTATGTGTGTGTGTGTGTGTGTGTGTATGTATGTGTATGTGTGTATGTGTGTATGTGTGTGTATGTGTGTGTGTGTGTGTGTGTGTGTGTGTGTGTGTGTGTGTGTGTGTATGCATACGTGCAATAATGTGTACCTTTGTACTGCTTCATATGTGGAAGAGAGAGGATCCAAGTAAAATTTGTTGTGACATAGATTTACATGCTAAAGCAATCATCAGACCACTCCTTTATATGTATCTCTCAGTAGGTGGTGTGCTTTGTTTACATTGGCCATGCTGTTAGGCATGTAATAGATACAGCAGTAGATATCACTACAGCTTTGACTAGAGGCCAGGCTGTTCGCTCCTTATTTGTTTACCTGAGGTAATTTCACATTCCCGTATGTAAGGTGATTGTAGCCTTGGAGTCGACCAATGATGGATCAAACAGTGTGGGCTGGAAAGCGTGGTCCTGCCTGCTCAAAGGTGATGGAATTGGATCCACTGCCCGTCGTCAAGTGATGACGGGCAGGAACGAAATCCACTGCATTCATTGGCTCACGAACTTGGCGCGTGTTTCGTAAATACAAGAACAACGGAAAGAGCGAGTCATGTGCTTTACAAGTACATGTTTGTATGGTGTGCGCAAGCATGCATGCTCCTTGGCTTCGGTGCACACGGGAAACACGTTCCAGTCACTCAAACTCGGCCAGCACCGCTGTTCATCCAGCCCTTGCCGCTATCGCGGCGCGGGGTAGATTCCGCGGTACTGCCCTCGTACTCGTGTAGGAACATGTACATCCGGTTTCTATATTTTCCCCTACATGGCTGCAGACAGATGGAAGTCTCTTCCACCTGAATGTCGCCAGGCAGGCATTCTTTGCAACAGTTGTTAGCAGTTTACTTGATCACCTAAGCAAGGGTAATCTGTAACTTGACAATAAGTCAGTGGTGTCTGCGCTAGTAAAAAAATGAATGCTAATACTACAATCCATGGGATTGTGTATGCTTGATCATCTTTTGTGCATGCCTTGATGCATGACATGTGATGTGGTAGTAAAACGCATCGCGCCTGGGTTTCGAATTTTAACCACCACCACCACGGGATGAGTTTGTATGGATGTGTGTATATGCACTACAAGTAACAAACATTCACCTTCAGACACGATCGCACTCTGCTAGTAGGCTGTTCATCTGCTCCAGCCGTACCGCATACTGACCGATGGCTTGGATCATCCTGCACAGCGCGATGTAACCTTGTCTCTCCTTGTTCATGATGATGTGAAGCAGCTCACAGTTATGCTCCCTGTTGCTCTGGTACCGATCTGTGCGTATCAGCTTGTCGATGTTGTGGTCCGTGAGCAAACCTTGCGTCTGCGCTGCTTCGCGGATGTCATCCGCGGGGATGCTCTGCAGCCACACATGAATGTCTGGCATGAAGGACGGGTGGTTGAACGGATTGTCCAGGAACGCATCTGTACGTAGTAAGAGTCATAGATACAATGCTGCTGTATTGGACATCCTTCGATAGGTACATTGCAATACGAAAGAACATCAAAGAAGTAACAAGCATTAACAAAATACTGCGGCCAGCGATGATCCCTGAGGCAGTCAGAAAGAGCCAATATGTTCACAACCTGAAATATATAGATGAGCAGTGAAGACGGACAATGGCCACTTAATCAACAAGAGTCCAAGCATATCTAAGCATACTCAACCCTTCCATAGTGTGGGAAATAAACATGTTTAATTCTTTATCCTCCCCCCCCCCTAAACAAAAGGGGAGAGAGATAAAATTAATAGAGAAGGACGGAGAGAGAGAGAAATTGAGAGAGAAAGAAGTATACACTTAGAGATAGTCATGCATAGAAAGATAGACACACAGACAGACAGAGAGGGGTAGCCCTTTCCCAAAGATGCTATAATTTTTCGCAACTTACGCTTTTCGCAACAATGCCAAAACAAGTGTGAGTTGCTGAAATCGCATCCATATTTTCAGAAAAAGCTCAAAAGTTGCTAACATTGCAACTTTTAAAATTAGAGGGTTCTTGTGCAAAACCACCAAAAAAGGAGCAGAAATAGCAGAAGACTTTGCTTAGTGCAGTGACAGCAAACTCTACACCCTTCTTGCTGTGAACCACCACTTTACACAGTGCCAGTAGCCTATTGCATGTATCCTATATCATTCCAGTGCACAGAAAAGGGAATGCACATATCGTAACTTCTGCTGATCTACTGTTTCTCTGAAATGAAATGAGCGAGTATAAATTTGTCCGACATGCCTTTGGACCCCATGCCATGGGGCGAAGGTTGCGGAAAAGTTGCAAAGTAGTTCGGGAAAATGAAGAAGGTTGCGAAAGTTGCAATTTCTTCAAAAACAACGAAAAGTTGAGAAAACGGTGGCGAGCATCTTTGGGAAAGGGCTAGAGAGGGGAAGGTGAGAAAGAGAGAGACATAGAAAGAGAGCTAGAGAGAGAGCTAGAGAGAGAGAGAGAGAGAGAGAGAGAGAGAGAGAGAGAGAGAGAGAGAGAGAGAGAGAGAGAGAGAGAGAGAGAGAGAATAGTAAGCAAAGAAGACAGCATTAAAGAGACAGCAAGGCAGAAGGCAGTGGGAACAGTTCCCAGGAGTCCTAGGAATAGGGTACTTGTTGCAACACAGGTAGCAGAACAATGAGGTCAGTGATGAATGATCTTAACCAAATCATACAAAACTCACCAGATGATGCCGAACACTGCATGCCAGAACTCACCCCAACATCTATAGACAAGACAGCATATAAAACAAACACATACGCACACAGAAAACAGACGGACGGACGGACACACATACACACAATACACACAATACTATTTTTATCAATCAGATATGTCAGGAACAAACACGTGGGCATAAAGCCTTTTCACTCATGGATATATAATCCTTATTTTCATAGCATCAGCCACGATATTGCCCAAACAACAGCCCTTGAAAAACAGTAGTGATGCCCTATGTTACGGGAATACGACGCGAAGAGTTCCTGGAACTCTCTTCGCGGTCCTGTAATGTAAAGAACATACAGGTCAAGCCGCCCGGTTTTCACGGGAAAATGAAAAAAACATCAATACTCCCGGGGTCCCGTGGATTTCAAGAAAACTCCAGGAAAAGTCACATTTTTTGCCTGACCCAGGTTTTCCTGAAAGCTCAAGGGACTCACCTCCAATATCCCGTTTTTTCCAAATAATATTATACCCCGTATGCACGGTGCATTCTCGCAGTTCGAACTCTGCACAGTACCTTCACATACCTGACCAGCCTAGCCTGCATGATCTGCACCGACAGGCGCGCTAGGCGCCCGTCGACTGATCGAACTGCAATGCAAGGTGGAACTGTGCTGTACGCGGAGTCCAGAATCATGTGCCGTCGAACGTTTTTTGGGCGGGAAAAGCTCTTTTTCACGTGTTTTATGCCACCCAAGCGTTTTGAGAGAATTCCAGGGATTCTGCATGTCTTATCAAGGGATTGGGATGTTTGTGGTTGGTCGGTATGAAAGAAAACCTGTTCTGCTCTACGTTCACGTAGAGAAATCATGTTGAATGTGTACTGGGAATTTTCCGACCATATTTGGCAGTTTTCTGCCTGTATTTGAATGATATCCAGCAGATCCATGTGAATTTTTTCACGTGTGCCTCAATGTAGAGAACCTCATCAGCGTAGAAATCTTGACCCAAAACACGCGAAGCCATAGACTCTAACCCAAACACCTGCTTTCCACGTGATTTCTCTACGTTTCTTGTGAAGCAGAACCTCTCTGATACCAAACATGATCATTGTTTATTTTAGTGTCCATTGAACCGTGGACTCGGCAAACCTGCAAGAAGCTGAAAGAAAGCACGACTCCCTACTCTATACACAGTATTTCGGGGAATTCACCCCTCATCATGTCACGAGTCAGTTGAGCAGTTTAGTTGGCTGAGGAAGATTGTGCCTGAGGAGCATCACTTATAATAGTGCTCTCCAGGCCCGAACATCACCAGGTATACAAACGTACAGAGACGCTCCGTTTGCAGCACAACAAACACCCCGTGAACACTAGATAGCAGCATGAGTCAGTGTTGCTACTAGACGGTGACACCAAGCGTCGAGGACCCTCGGTCATTCACAACGCCTGTCACCTGCAAACCAGCTAATTGCAAGCCCGTGCTGGGGAACGAGTCCTCAGGCCGGTCAATCATGATCTTGATGTTTTTATGCCAAGCAAAGGTCCGATTAAATTCTGGGTAAATATTAAAACACAGGTCGCAAGCCTCTATCTACGGGAACTAGCGTTTCCCTTTACAAAGCGAATACTGGCATTACGAGAAAAAAATCATAATTATCTTACCGGCCGCATGAGTATGATGAGGAGGTATTTTGCACTGTGAGTACCCAGGGCAGTCTTTCACTGCCCTGTAGACAGTGTTTGCAGCCGGTAGTTCGGGTAGCACATCGTCCACCAGGCTCAGCACCACACTGTCAGGTAAGTCGCAAATGCCCTGGCGGAACATGTCGGCTGCATCACTCGTGCGATGTTCCCTGACCTTCTCATCGACGTCATCCTTGAAGGCTTCCTCCAACTGTCCTCTCTGGTTCAGCCTCCGCAAGCACTCGACCAGAGGGAAGTCTTGGTTAAGCAAGATACGGTGCTGATAGAGAGCAGAGCAAAGACGAGAGGCTCGACGACGTTCTTCAATCGTACCTTCAGCACAAGAAAGCAGACATGCAAGTAAAAATATACACCATGCAGTATAAGTTTGTTTAGAAAGTTTTGGTCAGTCCATGGCTTGATTAGCACAGAATTTGGGTATGTATCACAGAGTACTACAGTGCATAGAAGTAAACACACGCATATGCACACATCATGTGCATGCATGTATACACACCCAGACCCACACCCACCCTCACACACACACACACACACACACACACACACACACACACACACACACACACACACACACACACACACACACACACACACACACACACATACACACACACACACACAGGAGAGCATACACACACATACACACACACACACATGCACGCACGCACAAACACACACACGCACACACACACACACGCACCCATGATAAACATTGCAAACTTACTGGCATTCTGGCAATCAGCTGAGCCAGCATACTCGTGCGTCAAGCGTGGGTCTTTGCGACGTTGATCAGCGCCAACATCCTTCGCAGCAGGAGGAAAGAGATGCGTGGCACGGATGTGGTCGCTAGCAAGAAATGCCATCGCGGCATTGAGCTCTCCTTGCTGGTCTAGCTTCCGAAGATGCCCACTGCTACTTAGCTGCTCATCATCTTCAAACACCATGTCGACTCTAGAGCCGGGTGACAATTGCTGTGGCAGCTTCAAGATGTGATGCCACACCATCTCCTGAAAGCGCGCGACGTCTTGCTGGTCGTAGCCACGTGTCACGACGTTGAGTGCCAGCTGTCCGGCGGGGATCTCTACCAGCGTGTCGACCTGTGGATAGCGATTCATGACGACACGTATGCCACCTTGCCAAACTGGGCATCTATCTCCGCTCTCACAGAGCTCGGTCAGGATGGAGTGCTGGATGGCTGGCATCAAGGCTGCACTCATGGCAATCCCGGATCTGCAATGCAGGCGGCGACCGGTGTAGTGGCGGTGAATCTTCTCATCGGCAACTGGCCAGTGGGCAGCTGTGCGGCTCTCTGCCTGGGCCGGCAGTATCATCACCTCATTGCCGTGATCCGTAAGATGACACATTCCCAGCTGCTGCGCAATCTCAAGCACCTTATCCCCGGGTAACTTTACCGGAGAGTTGGTACAGTTGCCCAGAACCTGCTCGACATTGCTGCGCTTCGCAAAGCCAAACTCATTACAAGTGATGAACGATGATCGCTGAAAGGTGGGTGTGTAAAGTTTGCTGGTGATGTCACTCATCAGCCAGGTTGGTTCCAGCACCACAAGCTGCACCTGGGCAAAAAAGAAAACCTGCATGCAAATATGCACATGTACCCACCCAGAACATATACACATACACATAAATTATAGTCATATACCCAGGCTGACACAACAATCATGGACACACACATACACTCAAATGCGAATAGGTACCCATAGGACAAACAGACACTCACACACACACACACTCATACACACACATACGCACACACACATACACACACACACACACACCAAGACACACAAAGACAGACAGACAGACAGACAGACAGACAGACAGACAGACAGACAGACAGACAGACAGACAGACAAACAGACAGACAGACAGACAGACAGACAGACAGACAGAGGACAGACAGACATAGTGACAGACACAGAAACAAAGAAAACAGATGATCAGGAAACATACATCAACTGTTGTGAATGCCATCTGATCTATTCGGAGCCACAAATTCATCTTTCAGTTCTTTGTACTTGTAGGTACACGTTTCAATTCTGTGCACCTTATAAACTCACGCATATTTTTCTTAGCACACACACACTTGAACCCTCCACAAATGATGTGACCTAAATGTGTTTTACATTTTATATCATTTTTCTTGTCCACTGTTGCACTCGCTGCACTGTGCATATTGCCAAGTGGTACATTTTCTGCTACCCACTTGACATGTGGGTAGCAGAAAACGTACCACCTCAATTAGTATTCCTGCTGATGCTGTACACACGACACCCTCACGACACATGCTGCTGCTACACGCACATGCTCACATACATTGCAGCTCTCACCTTGTGAATGCCTTCAGTCTTTTTTGGTCACGAAGAAACTGGGCCCAACAATGGATCGCTAGCTGAAGTGTTTCGTGAAATGAATGGGTTTAGTTTCAACATTTAAAAGTAAGGGACTGATTCTCGAGATGATGACACACCAGCAATTGTCAAGCTAGAGAATCAATCACAGACACCAGTTGTAGATAGCTCTCGGCCACACAACAGGAAAGCATCAGTGCAACTATAGGTGCCGTGCTCCCCAAAATGTCTCAATGTCTACAAGTAGAGTTCGCTTATACACTAGCACTCTTTTTCGTTCGAGTCCTGGTGGTGACAGTCAACTGTTGCTCCAGACTTTTCCTGTTTGCATCTTTCCCTCAAACCAGTAAATACTCTTTTTTAAATATATATTTTAAAAACATACCAGAGGCCAAGCTAATATTTTCCTTTCTTTACCCGATGTGCACACTCGAGCTGGATTCAAATCTATTTTTATTCCTTGGTGCTTACCGCTTTAACGCGCTCCCCGAATCCTTCGCTAGGCATTTCCCAAATCGGGCGGCCGAAACATTCGCCGAAAACAGTGGGTTTGAAGAAATCAACGATCTTTTTGCCGGATATGCAATTTTTGCACTGAATACGCCGAAAATCGATCTTTTTCTCTACAGCATGCAAATAAAATTTCTGTAACCATTATCTGCGAAAAGTGACTGCGACTTTAGGCATTTCTGAGATCGGTCAGCAGGAAAAGAAACCGAAATCAATGGCTATCAAGAAATCCCCGATAATTGCGCCAAATTTACAAAATCTCGCGATGAAATCGCCAAAAATTGATGTTTCAGTGCCTCTATAACGTGCATGTACATGTACATGTATGTGTATACTGCGATAGGTAACTTCAAGTACTGCTTTGAGCCGAATTCTGACTTTGGGGCTTATATAATATGGCCGAATTTGGACATTCCTCAGCCGATCGAGAAGCCGGTTAGGCGAAAAATCGGGCCGATTTGGGAAATGCCTACCCTACCCATTCGCACTACTCGTATCCCCAATTCATTTCGCCAGGAACTTCGCACATTTATTCATCTTGGGCATCCTGTACGAAGACCTCAGGGCCTGTTCGAAATGCCCAAGTAAAAATAATAAAATACAATACCATGCAAGGGTTCTACCCAAAGGAGGGTAGGGGGCACAGCGTCCCTCTTTTCTTATTGACCGCCTGCCTCCCTGTGAAGAAGTGGCGCCCCTTACTAATTTGTCCATTTTGGTGTGTTTGCTGGCAATTCAACGAAAATGTGGACGATAATATCAGATGGTTCAGAAAGGCACACGTATCTGGTGTGAAGTCGGGGTACGTTGCATTTCGGGTGACAAGTCTATTTTTGGAAAATGGAAAAAATGGGCTACAGGGTGTTTCCTAGGCCCCCCCCTACTATTTTCTCCTGCTAGAAACCTGAATAGCAATGAATAAAACTAATTATGAACTCATAACCATGACTTGTGTGAAACAATTATTATTATTAAAATGAAAAATGTCCAGGACGTTTTCTCGTGATTATCATCAGTGGAACATCGTCACATAGTGAGAATGACTAAAACATCCAGTTATGTAGCTAGAATAATATGACAAGGAGCGGAAGAATGTAGCAGCTCACGGTGGTTATGAGTTCACAATTAGTTTTATTCATTGCTATTTTACGACTGTTGTCTCTTCATTGGTTATTAGAAACCTGCATACAATACAATACATGCGTGCGTGTGTGCAGGCACAAATACGCACAGATACACACTACATATATGCACACGCGCACATTTACCTCGGCTTTCTGGTGTAGATCATGGAGATCTTGCTCCAGGTCGACTGCAATGGCTACCATTCTGTTCACCAGTTTCCAATCTTCAGCTTCGAACCTTTCACCTAAGATGAGATTGGCTAGGGCCGTAGTGAATTCCTCCAGGCTGACAGCAGGTGTATCCTTGAACTTAAGGCGGATATCTTCCAGGAAGTACTCGACTGCGGACATGGGAGTATCTGGTTCCTGTTGCACGTCACAGCATGTCAAAACAGAATGCACAAAATTGGCACGATTTAATAACAAAAAATCAACAAGCCCTAAATGAAATCCTAAGAGACGGATAGACAGTAACAGCAGTAGAGCCATGTGCAAATAATTCCCAAAATCATAACTGGTAGTGTAATTAATGTTGTGTGCCACAGCAACCAGAATGGGTGTCGTTAGTGCAAAATGGCGCAGCACTCTTAGGACATTAGTATACCTTATGGGAATATTTAAAAAGGCGACGTGGGGACAATAATTTTACAACTAATGCAATGAATAAAACTATATGCGCACTAATATCACGATCGTAGCAACGAATAAAGTGTTTCAGAACGGTTTCTTGTCACAATTATCAATAGAATTTGTGACTGAAAGGAATGATGAAACTACAATAGGATTTATACACTTGGACTTCACTTCGAGAATCACTTTGCAATCACACACACTTGCATATGCATGTACATTGTGACACTGCACTTGCTGAATTTCCTATCATTTCTCACCTGCATAGTTTTATTACCAGTGCATTTTTACGAAGTTTGTGCTATTTTTCTTACTATTCTAGTATCTAAATACTCGACAAGGAGACAAAATGTTGATATGGCAATAAGGAGGACGAGCATAAGTGACATTTGTTTTCTGCACACTTTTTGAGAGAAATCACACCTCGATAGTTTAGTGCTGTCATTGTATCCTGCTACCCTACCTTATTATTATTTCTTTTGTTCCTATTTTGTTCTTTAGTACAACGGTAATTCCTGAAGAGTGCTATACGAAAACTTGTTCGAATCACCTTTTTTTTTCCATCGCTTCATTTCCTTACACATATTTCTCCTTACCTTTTAGATGATTTTTGCATCGTCTCCATCGCTTTGTTTATTAAAGTGATCCAAATGTCATTTCAGCTCGTCCTCCTTATTGCCACATTAAGTTAAAATTATTCCAGTTTGGACACGGGTCGAGAGCCAAGGATAAATTAATTTTTACGAGAAAGAAAAAGGACCAAGGAACTACAAGTCACGCTACGAGAGAGCTTGGAAGCTCAGGGCCCTGCGCTATGCTTTGTTGCCTAGCTCATCGTGCATGTTGTTAGAAATGATGGAAATGCTTTTTCCTTTGATTGGCTACATCATTGTATTGCAAAAACGTTTCAATGAGATACTGAAGTGACGTCTTCCGCATAGCTATGGGACCGGCGCTGACTCTGCCGATCACGGGCGTTCTGGAGTCGACGGGATGGCTGTTCTGACGTTTCCTGGGACCGGCGCTTACTCTGCCGATCACGGGCGTTCTTCTTCTTCTTCTTCTTATTATTATTATACTGACGGCAACTAACATCCATTCTGATTGCATTTACTCGTCTGCCTACTTCGTATTTCTTTCTAGAAAATCTCCCCATACAGCAGGGAGTCGTTTACATAATAATTATGACTCCCTGCTATACATCTACATGGCTGTATATACGTTATAATTATTATGCTATCGGCCTACATTCGATTCCCGGGCTGGTCGACAGGCGGCCCAGCCAGCCTGCTGGTGGGATCTCGGCCTCGCACACAAATCCACACAAAATGTTACTGCACTGAATGCATTCCCCCGATACACTTCGCATATATACTCATTCTCTTGATGGTACCGTACTCTTGATGGTACGGGACAGGTACGGGATAGCGCCAGGCATGTCGATGGCACAAACAAAAATATTGTGGCCAGCTGTCTTTGCTGGTACGGTACAGTACGGGACAGATACGGGATAGCGCCAGGCGTGACACAAACAAACACACAAACACCAAATTAAAGCTGTGTGGACCCTGGCTAGCGCCAGACGTTACTGAAGTAACGTCTTCTGCACAGCTACGGGAATAATGTCCACTAACACCACCAGTTACTAAACAATCACCAGGCTGTTGGAGTGCGCATCCAAGATGTGCTAGAGTTGTTAGCCAGTTAGTTGTAGAACGTCAGTATCGTCACGCTATAATGTCCACTAACACCACCAGTTACTAAACAATCACCAGGCTGTTGGAGTGCGCATCCAAGATGTGCTAGAGTTGTTAGCCAGTTAGTTGTAGAACGTCAGTATCGTCGGTCAGTGTCGTGCAATGTTATCGCATGAGCTGATTGTTTAGTAACTGGTGGTGTTAGTGGACATTACAGCGTGACTTGTAGTTCCTTGGTCCTTTTTCTTTCCTATAAATTGTTCTAGTATCCTCGCTTTTTCACTCCAAGTGTATAAATCCTATTGTAGTTTCACCGTTCCTTTTAGTCACGAATTCCATGCAAGAAAACCTTGTGGAACACTTTAGTCGTTGCTATGGTTGTGATGTGAGTGGGCATATAGTGTTATTCATTGCATTATGGGAATATTGTTAATGTTACCCAGGAGTTTGTTGGTTTTCGGATTACTTTCAGAGAGAAGATGCTACATTACAAACAAAGTATTCCACTTGGACCAGTGCCTTCAGAGTGTAATAAATCCTTTAAAACAATACAGTTCTCACCTTCACCTCTCTCTTCATTTCCTCGATGATGTCTCGCACCTTTGCCACACCATCGCAATTCTCGTCAACAGCATTGACAAAGATCACAGGCTGGTCCATGAACTGAAGATGATCGCCCATTGTATCCTTCAGAAGCTCACATTCGGCGCTGACTACATCACGCTGCGATTCTCCAGCTTTGTCTCGCCGGGAAGCTACCATGAGCACCTTGTTGGCTGTCTTGTCGCTCCCTCCTTCCCCATTGCCTTTCTCCTCACCATCTTCACAGCTGCATGCTATGAAGTTACACCACTGGCGAGCCGAATGACGTACACATACCTTCGTCTCCACGCTGGAAACAGTGATGATATTCACTGCTGGGACGGTGGAAAACTTTGTCAGGCGTTGGTGATTACTCATATATCGGTATTGGCCACCTAGATCGAGAAAAACGATGCCTTCGTGGTAAAAGCGCTCGATTCCGCGGGTTCGCGCACTCTCGATTCGGTCCCCCTGATCACGCCAAACGAAGTAGACCAACCTGTCGTAGAACGTGTGACGCTTGTGCAACGACTTGAGCAGTGACGTTTTTCCACTGCCTGGGGGGCCAAGCAGACGCACCACTAGATGTGTCTTGCGTTTGCAGTTCTCCATACGTCGTTTGACCAGTATTTGCTGAAACACAGGATACGACGCATCCACATACCCATGCAATAACACAGATACACAAATGCAAGCATACGGTTGGCATGTGCTTCGCACCAGCGGTTGTCTATAATTGCTAGCGATTAACTTGAGTATGGAATTTATTGCTCCTCCATGCTTCAAAGAGCGTTAGATTATGAGGATCCCATGGCCATGGACATATCCCGTCAACCAAGGAAAATAGCACACTATAAAAGCCAACGGTTTCCCAGTGATCGGGGGTTATCCATTGTTTTCTTTTTCTCAAAACAAAAAGGATTCAACTCGGATGGTGAGCCAATTCAATTAACTCGTAACTTTTTGTCCAAAAATATTTCAAAAATTTCAAAAATATAGATGCGTGATTTGAAAAAACCATTAGGCCAGCATCTATACCACATAAAATCTGTGATCACTTTGTGCATAAAATATTCGAAATTGGGTGTTTGATATCCGATCGCTTAAAAATCTATAAGAGAGTAATTGGGGGAAGGGACCTGAGCAATATTCGAAAGAAATTCCCGAAAAGCTCCAGGCAAATTTGAAATATTTCCAAAAAACCATGCGTCTATATTTTTGAAATGGACTGTAAGACTTTCTTTTCCCTGTAGTTTTGGCCCAATCAGTATCTAACAGCTTGAAGATGGCCCTAAACCAGAACATGGACCTGACACTGCTCATGCATTTACCACTCCACAAGCTGGCGCAGCAAACTGTCAATCGAGAAATGGAGCTCATTACCCCGCCCGGACCTTGTTGGAACTTCGGAAATAGAACACATTTGCCACTCCATGGCTGTCCAGGCATGGATGCTCCCAAAAGTATAATAAATAATCTGTCCACTACATTTTCCACTCTAATTGCCGAAGTGGCTTCTGAGAGAACAGAATAAGGATCAAGAAATGACATACATGAAGACAACAATAATTGATGAGCTCACAGCGAAAGTTATCCAACTCAAAGAGGGTGCGACTCGACAACAGCAGTATGTTACACCTCTAACCTGCTCAATGAGAAACATACCGGAGTCCCCCATACCAGACCTATGGCGTACTCTTGTGTAGCATTACATGGCACAAGTGGAGTTCAGCACGTCACACCTTCAAATTGAGACACAGACCACAGCCCAGTGGCTGCATCACTCACCAATGGCGGTATTGGAACTAGTTGAAATCAAATTGGTACTGGTACGTGTTCGAATCTTAACAAAGCTCCAGCAGACACCGAAAGGCAAACTGGAAACTACCGAAAGAGCAAACCCTCTACACAAAGTAGTACGAGGCTGTGAAGCACAGCGTATGGTACACACACAGATATTCGTTTGGCGGAAGGTAATGGCCCAAGCGCCGGATCTGTAACGTCGAGCTACATGTACCGTACAGTACCGCCAGAGCGCCCTGCCATCTCGTCCTTCCGTGGTCGTATTGTGGAGGTGGTATCCTGCCTGTAGGTCATACAACATGAACTTTGTACACATATTGCACGTTGTGCAGACAATCTGTACCTTCGAGCGGACACGAGCTCCACAGAAAAACCTGATAAGTGTGACCTTACAAAAATGGTTCTCACACCGTACAAACTAACTTCGTTGCATTCTGCCATACGATATTCTTTTCCCTGGCTGTAAAATCAAAGTGGGGCGCTCTCGCGAGACGGGGCGCTCTGGCGGTACTTACGGTACATGTTTATGAAACCAACATCAGTAAACGAATCACAAAAAATGCTCATCGGTGCTGGTGCCAGTGCGGCGGGAAGTATATTCTTGGTTGGGAATGTAGCTATTGGCCCCAGAGCAGCATCAATACTTATTATAGTAAAGTCGCGCAATGACAGGGATGTGGTTGTTCAGTGCAGAGTGGTGGGGTGCTGCAATGTATTGATGTAAAAGTTCGTCAAAGTCCAAATTTGAAACAGACTCTAAGTTGCATTTTTCCATTGCAACATAATAATGAGGCTTACTACTAATGTCGCCCGAAGCTTGTGCTGTTGAGCCGCCATCTGTGACAATAAGCAGACAATGAGAGAATGGGCTGTACATGGTGACCAGACATGAGACAGAAATTCTGAGGCAACAGTCAAAGTATTCAGTAGTTGAGGGAATGGAAAAGGGAAAATACTGTAGTCAAAGCAATGACGTCACAGATGCGTTAAGCCCATGGATCCTTCCATGAGTGAAAGCGAATTGTAACTATTATTATTATTTAACGCAATAAATAGAGTAAGCTGCCCAGCTTACTCTATTTATTGCGTTAATTACATTTTTATCTCCACGTAAGCTTTTTAATTATTATTAGTATTATAAAAGTGTGAGTTAAGACGTCTGAAGAAAATGTTGAACGGTGTCTGCTGGGATGACGACTACACCATAGCTCAGTGGTTAGAGCATCGCTGGCTACAAGCGAGGGTCCCTGGTTCGAGTCCTGGTGGTGACAGTCAATTTTTTCTTCAGACTTTTCCTGTTTGTCTCTTTCCCTCAAACCAGTTAATATAATTTTTTTCTTCAGACTTTTCCCGTTTGTCTCTTTCCCTCAAACTAGTGAAGATTATTATTATTAAAGCAATGTTGAGTCACCTCCACCATTAAACTGCGCTCTTTAGCCGACTAGACCCTCCTGCACACAACCATCACCACTGCGAGGACACTTCCGTAGACGATATTGATAAACTCCTTCAGACAGCTGTTTCGCTAATACAAAGCTCATCAGTGAAGGTAGATGTTGAATGATTAAAAATATAGACCAAACTGCTATTATATAGGGGGTTTCCACATGCAAAACTGGCATAGCTGAGGTGATAACGCAGGAAAAAGGAAAGTGTGAAGTACTGTTGACTTGCATTGGACATGCATGCAGCGTCCAATGTCCAATACGCGTCAACAATATTCCACCAGCATTGAGTTAGTGCTTACCCTCACACTTCCATTCACACCTTATCCCCACACTTACATCATCTACACTTGCATTGTGTTAGTTATCACCTATGCTCTCCCCCCCCCCCCTATATATACCATGCTATCTACTCCCATTGGGTATCTATTCCTTGACTCATCAAGCTGTTACATGGTGTCAGAAGTCGGATGCTGCGGATTCTGCAGATTCAAGGACCATGAACCAGCTCAAGCCGCCAGAACAGCTCCTCATCAACTGTCCCAATAAGGCGGACGCGTGGAGGCGGTTCAAACAGGCGTTTGAATTTTATTCAATTGCCGCTGGACTCAAGGACAAGGATGGTGTCATCCAAGCCGCGGTATTTCTCCATGTCATAGGAGAAGATAGCCAGAAAGTGTACCAAACATTGCAGTTTGACACAGAGGAGGACAAGAAGGACATTGACAAGCTGAAGGAGAAATTCGAAGAGTTCTGCATCCCGAAAGCAAATGCAACAATGGAACGATACTTATTGCTCACCCGGAAACAGGAAGAAAATGAAGACATTGACTCGTATACCATGGAGCTCCGTAGAATGGCGGAGAGGTGCGAGTTTCCAGCCACGAAGGACAGCATCTTACGGGATTGCATCGTTCTGGGTGTGCGGGATGACGGACTTCGCAAGGAACTTCTTCGACAAGACCAGAGTCTAGAAAAAGTGCTGTCCTCCTGCAGATGCAGAGAAGCTGCTCAACGACATATTAGACATTTGACCCACGAAGCGGTTGGTTCAGAGACAGACAAACGAGACATCGACGCTGTTAGGTCACAGAAGAAAATACAAGCCAGACCTCCAGTGAAGTCCTGCGGATACTGTGGGGGAACACATCCTCCAAGGCAGTGTCCGGCGTACGGTAAAACATGCACGAAGTGTAGCAAGGTCGGCCACTTTGCTAAGGTGTGCAGAAGTCAGCAAAAGTCACCAGCAGTCACAGCAATAGAGCAGACAGCAGTACAAGAGCAAGCCGTTCAGACGCGGTCGTTTGGAACGATCCTAGTCGGTGAACTATCAGCGGACAGATGGAAGGAGACCATTATCCTGGATCAACAACCAACGTTGTTCAAGCTGGACACCGGTGCAATGGCATCCGTACTGCCATTGTCAGTCTTCAGGAGCAAACGGCCGGACCAGCAGCTTGAAACAACTACTACCATACTCTCTGGCTTTGATCACAGCACGGTTCGACCAGAGGGAACGGCTACTATCAAGCTTACCAAGACAAAAGCATACCAGTTACCTATTATGTCAGCCGGAAAGTATCTTGCCCAATTCTTGGGCAGAATGAATGCGAAGCTCTACACCTCGTTCAACGCATATTCCAATCAAGCTCGAAAGCTGACAACCGGGAGAATGTCATCGAGCAATACCAGGACGTATTTACTGGGCAGGGGACGTTCGGTGAAAGCTACCACATTCAGATCGATGCTGACGTTGTCCCTGTCGCACAGCCACCAAGGAAAATCCCGCACAGCCGTCTTCACAAGTTGAAGGAGGCACTAGATGAAATGAAGAAAGGCGGAATCATCACGGATATGAGAGAGCCAGCGAAATGGGTCAGCAACTTGGTGATGTCTGAAAAGAAAAATGGCAAACTCAGAATATGTCTGGATCCGAAGCCGCTGAACAAAGCCATCATCCGTGAGCCATTTCCAACCCCTACACTTGACTACGTCCAAAGCAAGCTGGCGGGCAAGAAAGTATTTTCTGTGCTTGACCAATCATCATCATTCTGGCAAGTCAAGCTCAGCGAAGAGTCATCAAAGCTTTGCACATTCAACACCCCATGGGGCCGAATGAGATTTCTCCGAATGCCTTTCGGGATACGCTCCGCCAGTGACATTTTGCAGAGATGGAACTACGAGACATTTGGAGACATCGAAGACACGCACATAATGGTAGACGACACGGTTGTCGCTGGAGAGACAGATGGTGAACATGATGAAGTACTTGAGACTGTACTCGGACGAGCACGAGAGAAAGGAGTCAAATTCAATCCTGACAAGTTTCAATACAAAGTATCGGAAGTCAGCTACATGGGCCACCTAATTGGAGAGGAGGGCATTCGAGCTGATCCTGGGAAGGTCAATGCGATCAAGTCTCTACGATCACCAACGAATGCCGCTGAGCTGAGACAAATCCTGGGGATGGTCAACTTTCTAGCACAGTACATTCCTAATGAGTCGGCCATTACAGCACCACTCCGGCAGCTACTCAAGGATGACACAGACTGGCTGTGGTGTGAAGAACATACTATAGCCTTCCAGACAATCAATGAAATGCTGACGACGGCTCCCGTGCTGAAACTATTTGACCCGAAAGAAGACGTCGTGATTCAAGCAGATGCATCCAAGGACGGACTGGGTGCTTGCCTACTCCAAGCAGGTAGACCAGTCGCATATGCATCAAAGGCACTTACTAAGTCTGAAGAGAACTACGCGCAAATTGAGAAGGAGCTACTTGATATCTGCTTTGCGTGCGATAGATTCCGACAGTACATCCTGGGGCAGGATGTCGTGGTTGAAGCAGATCACAAGCCGCTAGAAATCATCCTGAGGAAGCCACTTCATGAAGCTCCTCTGCGCCTACAGAAAATGATGCTACGGTTGCAGCAGTACCAGCTGGATGTCCAGTACAAGAAAGGCGTGGACATGGTACTTGCAGACCCTCTATCACGAGCTACAGTAGACGCGGCCTCGCAAACCCTAGAGGACGGCGTCCTGGTCTATGATATGGGCGAGCTCACAGACACCACAGAGGAGAGACTCAACCAGCTAATTGCAGAGAAAAGAAAGACAGTGAGCTGCAACTACTGAAGAAGGTCGTCGAGGATGGTTGGCCGGAAACGTTCAAGGCTACACCGCCCTGTGTCAGACGATTCTGGAGCATGAGGGACAGAATCTCATATTTGGATGGCATCCTCTTTGTGGGCGAACGGTATATTGTGCCAGCCAGCATGCAACAATATGTTCTACGGATTCTCCACGAATCACACCAAGGCGTGGAGAAGTGCAAATACCGTGCATCGGAATGTGTTTACTGGCCTAGAATCCAGCAAGATATTGAAGACATGGTCAAGCGATGCCCAGTGTGTCAGCGATTCCAACCAAGCAACTGCCGTGAACCAATGCTACCACATGAGATACCAAAACTACCTTGGACCAAGCTTGGGAGTGACATACTGGAGTTCAATGGACGCTACTACCTGGTCGTAGCTGACTACACTTCAAAGTACCCAGAAGTCAACTGTCTAGGCACGACCAAAACCTCGGCAGCTGTCATTACCAAGCTGAAGAACATCTTCTCTCGCCACGGCATACCGGAAGTCATGATAGCAGACAACATGCCATACGCGAGCAAAGAGATGAAGGAATTTGCAAAAGAGTGGCAATTCAAAATAGTCACAAGCTCACCGACATACAGCCAAAGCAATGGAAAAAGTGAAAGTGTGGTGAAAATAGTGAAACGAATTCTGAAAAAAGCGCTGGAAGACCACTCTATGGATCCAGAGTTGGCGCTGCTGAACTATCGGAACACCAGAATCTCCGGCACGGAATACAGCCCTGCACAGGTGCTCATGGGACGCAGGCTGCGGGACCGACTGCCAATGCCAGCGAAAAAGCTGGAACCCAAGACGGTGGACCCTGCGGCAGGTCTTCAAAAGCAACAAGCTCGCCAGGAGTACTACTATAACCGAACCGCAAAAGAACGACCAGAATTCAGGCCAGGTGACGATGTGCTGGTTCGTGAACGAGGGAAATGGACACCTAGCAGTATTAGAGAACAACACGAAGCGCCAAGATCATACATACTGACAGATGGAAGAAGGCGCACATCCCGTCATCTACGCACCAACTACGGACCTAAAAATGATGACAAGCAGGAGTCGGCAGCGCGCATGCCGGATACGAGTGATGACAACGTTCCCTCTGGCCCGGAGAGTGTGGGTGACGGCATGACCCCTCCGGAAGCAACATATGACGCGGATAGATTGGACAGTCCGGCAGAGCCTCGCTATCCGCAGCGCAATAGAAAAGAAAAGAAGGCAGATGACTATGTTTACTACTAGTACAACATGATTGAGCATCTAGACACGCATGCGCAGCTTGACCTCCATGCATCAGCCTATTGGACTTCTAATATTCCCTACATAGTTCATCTTTTACTAGACCTTGCCTGTATGCCTACTCTTAACAAGGTACACTCCTATTCATTAGGGAAAGGAGAGATGTGACATATTCCACCAGCATTGAGTTAGTGCTTACCCTCACACTTCCATTCACACCTTATCCCCACACTTGCATTGTGTTAGTTATCACCTATGCTCTCCCCCCCCCCCCCTATATATACCATGCTATCTACTCCCATTGGGTATCTATTCCTTGACTCATCAAGTTGTTACACTATACTGTCCACTAACACCACCAGTTACTAAACAATCAGCTCATGGGATAACATTGCATGACACTGACCGACGGTACTGACGTTCTACAACTAACTGGCTAACAGGTCTAGCACATCTTGGATGCACACTCCAACAGCCTTCCAACTTGGACATCCAGTACAGCAAGAAACTATGGTTAACAGCACTAATAATGTGATACAACTAACCCTAAAGCTACCAAAGGCAAGTCCATAATGCAACCTATTTATGTACCTCTATTCCTCCTTGTGATTAACTTAGCATTTCAGATGTGTAGGTACGGTAAGGTTCATAACACCTCCATTCTACAGTGTTCCATTTGTGTTAGTTTGTGACATGTGTGAGTTATTTGAGTACACACATCTTGCACCAGTGTATTGTATAGTTAACCGATTCTCCTCTAATCAGCACCCTTGATCCTTTCGTGGCATGAAGCAAACTTTCGATTTGTGGAAGAGAACCAGCGATAATTATGTCAGAGTTTGCAACGTTTAAGCTTGTTCTTTTCCCACTGACTTTGCCCAACACCATAAATAGGTGGATGTCATGCTGAAAACAGAATGTCTCAGAAAATTGGTATTCATTGTAGTGCTTTTGCCTGTAGAGCACAAGTGGTGCTTTCATGAAGATTTTTCGAGGCGATGGTTTGATTGAGTTCTTGTGTGCTCCTGATAGCAGCGTAAGCCAGTCAATTTACAGATCAAGTAGGTTGGTAAAGCGCAAGCTCGAACGTTGCGAGCAACCAACTGTCTTACAAGTATAATTTCCTCAGAGGCCATTTCCACTTTTTCGGACTGTTATTCTCAGCGCAGACTGGGGATTTGCTGGTTTGGAAATGGAAATACTGCAAATGACGATCTGTCCTCTCCACTTGTTGTACACCTCCATGAGGGACACTGACTCATGCTGCTATCTAGTGTTCTCGAGGTGTTTGTCGCACTTGAAATGGAGTGTCTCTGAAAGTTTGTATCCCTGGTGATGTTCTGGCCTGGTGAACTCTTTGTTAGTGGTGCTCTCCAGGAACAATCTTCCTCAGCCTGCTCAACTCCAGCTGATGAGAGAACTTCTCCAAGCACTATATCCAGTGGTCCTTTATAATCCGGCACTATTTTTGCTATGAAAATTCTGCTGGATTAGGGAGGTTGTTGGATTAAAAATCTAAATTACTGCCGCAATGTGCATGAAAAGGACATTTAACCCTTTAAGAGCCGCCCCATACTTGAATGCGTCGTAAACGACGCATTCAAATGCAAAATTTCAAAAGATCGTAACTCAGTCCAATCTCGCTCAAATCCAGTGATCGAAATATCCAGGGCGAAGAGAAATCTCTCACCTGTCGGGAGAAACAATCCGCGAAGCGCTGCGAGCAACGGTTCCTGAGATAAATCACTCGTAAGTTGAGCCGCGATCGCGGCAATTTCAAAAGCGCGCAGTGCGACTTTAGTATTGATAATTTTGAGACTTTTCGTCAAGCTGGCTTACTCGAATTTGCACGGGCTTCACTGTTGATATTGTCAAGAGTACACAGCGAAAAAATTGGAACTCCACGATCGAGTAAAATGAAATATCTGGAGCGGGACGCAATTGGACGCATTTGGGGCATTTTTCGTACTGTCGCTGCGATCTAGCGCTGGATAGGCGGTGTGCTGGCTATCATGATCGACCTCATTCTCTTCCTCTCGCGGAGACCTTTCCAGGAAGCCCTAGATTGTGAGGATTGAGTGAGTAGAACTGAAGCTATGATCCAAAGAACACGAAAAAATACACAATTTTGAAAATTTCCTGTGGCTCTTAAAGGGTTAAGTTGCTGATAATTACCGTACTCGCGAGATCAGAGCCCTCTCTTGAACAGTGCCCTATCTCGATGGATGACGTGAACGTACAAGCATTTGAAAAACAGTGCCCTCTCTTGAATAGTGCCCCATCTGTGATGGACATTGAAAAAAATAGTGCCCCAAGGGCACTTATCGCGCGAGTACGGCATGCTGGTTTATAGAGGGTGCTGGATTATAAGGTACTGGATTGAAGAGGGACGACTGTACTACTATTGATTAACGGACAGATCAAATCAAAATGACATCCGCGGACTAAGAACATATTTTTATCGCAGACTTGCTTAGCGATACCGATAGAGGTCAGGCGGACTCGCATCAGGAAGTCGTAAAATGACTACATGTAAGTAGTGCAAGCATAGGAATGGTTTTTCCTAGTGTGGTGAAACTTCTTCTTGGTCTGGAGACAGTGGAGAATATTCGGGTTTCTGCTGAATGGTGAAACGTTCTTAGTGTGACACGACTACACTGATTATATTCCGTTGAATGTTTTCTTGTAATGGAGCATTATGAAGAAGTCTGTGAGTATCACGAGGCCAGCTGATACAGTTCTAAATTCTGAGGTTTTTCCTGAGAATTTCATTTTTGATAACGCCAATGCGCCTCACTTGCAATCGGTTGGTTAAAAACAGCAGCCTCTCACCTTGATGAGTTGTCGAATACAGTCATGACTGGCTGCGGAAAATGCTCCAACCCAGCCTTCCATATCCAACAACTTGACCGACACATTGCTAATGCAATCGAGAATGGTCTCCTGTAAGAAAGAGGGAACCAAAGCACAACAGCAATTGACCACTGTAATGGTATAACGGTCTCGACTTGGATTACAGCTACACAATCGCTCAGTGGTTAGAGCGGATGGTAGGGTGAAGGGGTGGGGTGGAGGGGGGGGGGGGGTGGGGGGGGGGGGGGGGTGGAGGGGAGGGAGAGGGTGTTTGGACGGCAATGGCATCGGGACCATAACACATTTTCGGCCCCTAGCGGTCAACTTCCTAGGCGCAACCGCAATTGTCACCTAACTTCCACTCTGAATTTTCATTGAATATAGCACCGGCTCTCTGCTTTTTTCGCTCAGTATCGAGATGGTGAGGTCCAGTAGGCATGGTAAGCTTACCCCGAAGGAAACTCGGCGTGTTGCGCGAGTATGCGCCTGTTTGAAAGGTTTAGCGGCACCTTAGAAAGCAAGTGCTCGTCCTCCAACTCAACGTGTTCAGTACGAATTTTATGGCAAGGTAGGGATGTGGCCGGTGCAGCGCAGAGTGCAGCGACCGAATGTAGGTCTACGCACCGGAACTGTGGCTGGCAAAACGGAAGTGACCGAGAGGGTGATCGTGAATGATGCTGACTATCGCAAAATGCTGCTCCAGATGGACGGTGTTTTTTATGTAATGAGAACAAAGATATGGTGGTTCAAGCGAAGTTCAGGGCAACCTGAGGCGGGGACGACCTAGTACTACCAGCACGATGGAGCTAGAGCCCACACCGGCAAATTCAACCAAAAACAATGGGCTTGACACGGAGCAAAAGCCGCCCTCAAAATAGCGGTAGTGACACAGCCCGCGCAGTCACCGGACCTAAATTCCAACGATCTTGCCTTCTTCGCTTCTTTGCAGTCCAACGTAGACCTCGTCAAAAAGAAAAATGTGAAGGACCTGATCAGCGTCATCGAGCTTTGCTGGAACAAGTATCCAATCGAGCGAATGGAATAGGTGTGGAGGGTTCTCTTTGCATCCTTCAAGGGGATCTTGTCAAGCAGGGGCAAAAACACCTACAGCAATCACACGGGTAGTCACACAGCTCATGCGAAGTCCGACAGGCAAGGCGATAAGCACAACCAATCCTACCCTCGCACAGAAGTGGAGAGATTTGCTGACCAATGCCCTAGTAAAAGTCGCATGCAGAGCGTCCTGACAGTGACGTCACAACATCGGAAAGTGATGAGTGTGGAATCGAAAGTGAGAGCTAACTTCGGTTGTGAGTTCCAATATCCTTGGAACAGTTGTATTTTGTATTTTATTATATTTAAGGATTTCCCAAAGGGTTTGGGCCTGTCGAGGGGATCTCTTGCAAGAGGAATGGAATGACAAATTTATGTAGAGGGAGCAGTTTTAAAAAGCAAGGATAGGCTAAGGAAATAGATCGAGGCATACAAAATCTGGTAATGAAGGAGTTGGGATACCGTCAGTGTAATGAATTTGTCGGCGAAAATGCTGATAGAGAGAATGCTCCACTCGAGATATGTTCTCGGACTGCTTGTTCTGTACAGTACTAATGTTGTGCCACTTGACTTTGTTCAAAACTATCACTTGAGTGAAGAACAATCATGTTTTCATTGTGTGAAGATAAGCGACAATTTCGGTTGCGGGGAGGAAGTATATATTTTTGAATTACACTTTTTGGACATACTTTTAAAAGTACAAATTTGGAGTATGGATGCGCTGAGGAATACTGTTCTTTCACACTTTTAAGAACGTTTTTAGTGGAAACAAGATGCTTTGACATTTAGAAGGAGGTCCCACTGTGGCTCGAACCTAAACTACATGATCTACTGTTCCCAAACCACTGGCATCCCTCCATACAAGGTACAATGAATGAGGCATGTCCAAATGCAATATGCACTGTGTTACACCACATCAGGTTCTTGAACATCCGCATTTTGAAAGGGCAACAGCAATAGACAATCAATGGGCATAACTAAGGAGTTTTTTTGACGACCTAGCTAACAGCTTGAATGTGGATTTAATCTGCTTCTCATTACATAGGTTACTTTTCCTTGTGTGAATATATGTATGTACATGTACCCAACGCTGTACACAGCTAGCTGTTTCGGCCATAAATCATGCCTTATCAGTACAGCTACGAGCTTTAAGTAAGTCGAGTTGCCGGCCATGGTACAAAGGTGGAACCACAGAAATTAAGACAATTCGTTGCTCTAGCGCCAGAGTGCTGAACTGTATGTATATGTATGTGCCGGAGGATGCACCCAGTGTGCTGACAGTGCTTAACACCGCAGAGGGAGAGCGTAATACAGGCCAACAAGGGCAATCAAAAGTTGTCTGTCGCTACCTAAAGTTTCATGCTTTCGCAATCATCGGGCAACATGAGGATTGCACTGGCCATGCCCGTATATATGCCAGGAGAGGATGGGTCTTGTAGCGCTGTGCGAAAAAGCTGTGTGTGTATGTATGTACTCAGTCTGTGAACAAAACTGTTTCATCCTTTGTGTGTGTGGGGGGGGGGGGGGGGGAGGGGGGGGATGTATGCATGTGTGTACATGTATGTCGCTACATGGTGCGACACAAGTGCACAGTGGAACGAGCAAAGCCGGTGAAGGAGCAGTCTGGGTCTGTTGAATGTGTTACATGCGGCCGCTGGCTTCTATCTCACGGGGACAGGGCGAACCATTGGTGAGGTCACTATCCAGCTCATTCTCTCAGCTAGCCTCGAAAGCAGCAGCAACAACAGCTACGGAAACAACCAGTAGTTCGAGACGGGCCAGGTTTGGCATGTCAGTGCCTTGTATGCCAGCGAACCTTCATGCCCATCAGTGGAAGGACTCGACATAAGTGCAAGCTGACTGACGTTCCAACTACAGCGGCACCACCCCTGGAGTGCTCCGCCTGTCACTGGACCTTCCGCTCAACTAGCGGCCGGACACGCCACCGATACTGCAGGGTGACTAGTACCATTTGACCTGTCCCTTCAGAGACTGCGAAGCCAGATTTGGCAGCAGGATCAAGATCAAGATGCATGTATGTATGTATGTATGTATGTATGCATGTATGTATGTATGTATGTATGTATGTATGTATGTATGTATGTGTGTATGTGTGTATGTAGGGGGAAGTGGCCCCACAAAGAGGGCTCAACAGTGCTGAGGTGCACTGGAGCTAGTACACAATGGAAGCGGTCCTCACCAAGAAAACATAATCTGTTACTACTCCGAGTTTCTTGAGTTATCAATCATCATGCAACCTTAATTATATAAAGAAAAAATGACCAAGAAACCACAATCTTTGAGCCACACAAGTTGTGTGGAATGTTGCTTTGCGTCCTTGAATCGTGGTTTGACCATGTTGTCTAGTTGTCTTACCAGTACCGTCATCAACATGCATGAACATCCGCCAACGTCCTTTACAGCTGAGACTTTCAACTCGTGCTTGTCTTGGTTGCGCTCACCTTCCCCTCCTCATGTTATTTCTATAACTAAGAACCTTCCAATTTGGAAGGCTGTTGGAGTGTGCATCCTAGATGTGCTAGAACTGTTAGCCAGTTAGTTGTAGAACGTCAGTAACGTTGGTCAGTGTAGTGCAATGTTATCGCATGAGCTGATTGTTTAGTAACTGGTAGTGTTAGTGGACAGTATAGCGTAACTTGTGGTTTCTTGGTCCTTTTTCTTTACTACTAGTATAAATTATATGCAAATAATCGACGTGGAGACAACAATTTTATGATAGCAATAAAGAGAACAAATTCTGCAGTCTTCGCCACACTACAACAAAGTCATGAAAGTTTACCAGAATTAATTTTCTTGTCACATTCATCAGTGGAAAGTCGTGACTAAAGAGTAACCATGCTGAACAATGATTAAATATACATTCAATGATGTGTTACGAGAACAAAATACAGTGCCAAAATAGAATGAGGGAAGGTGAGACAATAGAAGTGAAGTGAGAGCTAAGTGCAATGGCGGGTGAGAAACTAATAATAGAGAGGTTTTGCAGAGCAAACGTTCGCAATGATTTTCGCGTTCCGGGGTTGCGAAAACTCTTGCGAACTTGCGAACGTTCGCGCGAAATTTGTGTTTTGCATGTTTTTCGCTCCAAGAAATTTTCGCGTGCACTCGCTTGTTTGAGAAGTGGTCTTCATCCGATTATTTTGTTGTTCCGAGTGGCGGCACCCTGAGTCATGGCCTAAGACGAGAGCTCTTTGACTACCTTGTCCATGGCCGGAGACCTACAGACAAACGGGTTGGCTTGTGCCGTAATCTGGCGCATCAACACCTGAAATTCAAAAAGGCATCGTTGATGTGACAGATTCCGTATCGGTAGAGGATTCATATGCAGAGCATATCTGCATGACCCGATCGAGCGATAACTCACTGGCATACTCTTCTTCGAGCACCCGTCGTTGCATCGCTCGATCCCTTAGGCCACAGACAAGCCTGTCGCGGAGCCGGGTTTCCCGAAGTTGGGCCTCATGGCCGCACAGTGACCCGCATCTACCGCACTGCAGACTATCTGGGTAGCTGCATGCATCATGCAGCTGAGACAGACCCGAGAAGTACTGGCTGATACTCTCACCTTGTCTCTGGCTCCTGCCATGGGAGGCCTGGCGGTCGAGTGACGGGTTTCTTCGTTTTCTCAGGAAAGCTTGCAGCTTCTGGATAGCAACCCGCTCATCATCGCCGTCAGCTATGGGAACTACGCCCGCCTGCCACAGCCGCACCCAACCGTCGTTGAGATCTGTACGGAGAACTGCCTGCTGCGTAACTGTACCTGCGGTTCTGCATAGCCCAGTCAACGACACGTAGTCGGACCACTTGACTTTCCACTCGAGGAAACCAGCTAGGTCTATCGAGTCTGGACTGGGCAGGTGGGGTATTTCCGCTCTTCGGGCCCACGGCCCTGCCTCTGGCTGTCCTGAGGTGGATGGTGGCGGGCCGCTGCCGGCGGGCTGGCTTGACTGCGCCGTTGTGAGTCTAAGCAGAATCTGCTGCTGCTGCTGGCTGAGGGATTGGACGATAGACTGCAGCAGGCTTCCTTCTTCTTGAGTCCCTGGCTGCATCCGCTCTGTCAACCCGTCGTTGGCTGCTGCTGCTTCCTCAGCCTTGGCCTTGACAGAGGTTCGTGTCTTTCGCTGCGCCATGTTGTGTCCTGCTCAAGGCAGACCCACTCTTCGAAAGATGATAATGAATCATCAGTAAAACGCAATGGCTTTTAAAAGGAAGCTGGCTGCAAAGGCGGCTTGAAAGGTGACATGTGAATGTGTTATGCGCAAGGCGCCAGAGGTACAGCAGTGCAGGGCCTAGGGTGCGAACAGTAGCACTAGCAGCCCGAGTGCCAAGACCCATGCAGGGAAAGGTGCCATAATATCACCACAATGATATTCCCTAAACTGTCTTCGTTTAGTCGCGTGCATGTGTGATATGAGCATGCGCGATTTTGTAGTCGAGAGTTCTTTTGTCAGTCTTCTTGTTTGTCTTTTTGAGTGTAGTCTGCTTTTTCCGTTATGTCATAGTCCCTGGTTTCCGTCATGTCAATATGATAATGTAAGAAAACTAGTCTTGTCAATTGTGTCCTGCGTCCCGGGAACGGCATTACGGAGCGTAATGGCTGTAATTCTGTCACATGCGTGATCTGCACCGCCAGGCGCGTGCTGACTGATCAAACTGCACTGCAGGGTTGAACTGTGCTGTACGCAAAGTACATTGCCGTCGAACATTTTTTTGGCGGGAAAGGCTCTCTTTCCTTGGGTTTTGAGAGAAATCCAGGGATTCTGCATGTCTTGTCAATGATCGAGATTTTTCTGGTTGGTGAGTATGGAATTTCTTTAGCTCGTGAAGCTTTGATGCTGCAATCGCCAGTCACTTCTCGACTTTAATGTCAGATGTTCCATCTCCAGGGATGGTCGGTCCGAAGTACTTGAATCATTGCCCCTGCTCCAATGATATTCCATCCACATGCAGTGCAGGGTCACCAGGTCAAACAGGCTGATCAGGTGTCACCATTATTGTCTCATTGGCATGTAGCACGAGGTCTGTATCGTTGTCTAGGAGACAACCAATCAGTGACATTCCCGCCAAGGGCCTTATCGGAGTTTAAAGCCCCCTCTATCATAATTTTACTGCTGTTGATGACATGTTGGGTGTAAAAGAAAGAAACCTACTGGTAACAAAAGCACGTACCATGACAGGAATCCAATGACTAGAATAGCTTATCCATGAGATTTTTCTTGCGCGACCACAGAGAAAAGCTACAACCTGCAGAGACAAAGTAGGCAACACTAAAGCATCTGTTAGGATCTCATTTTTAAACTTCTTAAGCTTAAACACGTTTCAACTAAGGCCGCAGCGAAAAAGTCCTTTCGCATCACACGCATATACGTGTACATGTACGTGCGCGCAGTTCATGATGTGTCAGGCCCAAGCTCTTCCTTCCTGGCTCTGGCTAGACATTTCGGTCCTTTGCTTCGAGTTAACTTGATCGAGTCGGATTTTTTAAAGGGGGTTGTATCTGCCAAGTGTGACGTTTCAACACTGATATGTTTTAGTTTAGAAACTTTAGTGGCCATGATTCTGCCTGCAGTTTCCGTCACTATAGTTGAAGACGGCCTGACCGTCGTCAACAGCTGCATTGTTAGAGTCACGGAGGCGTGTTAGAAACTATTCATCCAGAAGGTGTCACTCACTTCAAAGCAGTGTGTGCTTCCTCCACTGAAACCGGGTCAAGCCGCAACGATGCTGACAAGAGTCATAATGTTGGATTTGATTTGGAGTTCGGACTAGGCCCCGGCGGATAATGCTGGAGAATTTGATGGATTCTGGTTTTCAATACGCTCGCATTCTGCTCCAAAATAGCACTGATAATGCTTGAATTCTGCTTAGAAAAAATGTAAATAGTGCTTTAGATTACTGTTGCAGATTGGTAACTGCATACATGTATTTTGCAGAATAAGTTTTGTTCTACGAAACAGAAAAAATTCAAGAAGCACAGAATTATTATTACTCAGCAGACAAAGGCGCAGTAGTAGTCGTGGGGGTATTGTGAATTCTCACGAAAATCCAAAATTTTGCAAGAATATGATAGTTTTCGCAAGAATATGCTAGTTTTCTGCAAAACTTGCCGGATTATGCAAGCACAGTGCTAATTTCCAGAAAGTGTTAAATATGCTAGATATTTTTTTACTAAGTACACAACCTACTCGTCAGGAGGGGAGAAGACAACAGAGGATACAATAACAAAACAGCAGGGAGAGTAGGGGCTGCAAAGCAAGCATGTGCTGGTGAGGCAAGCCCACAACACCGACCTATGGTCTCGGCGTTAACGTGAGCTTGTGCACCATAGCCGAAAAGAAGGGGGTGATTTAGTGCGATAAAGACAATGGAAGGTGAGGTAGAATGGTTGAGGAGAGAGAAAGAAAATGAAAGAGAGAAAGAGGGAGAGCGAGGGTGCGAGCGAGAGAGGGGTGGGGGTGGTGGGGGTGGAGAGAGAACACGGAGAGAGAAAAATAGTTTCAAAGGCAGTTCAGATGCAGTGAACATGATGCAATGCTTTGGGGGGGGGGGGGAGCTTCAAGATGGAAATTGTTCTGAACTGTTAGAGGGAGTCTATGGCCCAAAGCCACTGGCTTCGGCGAAGATGGTAGTGGACGTTCGCTTTGAAGGATTGTAGGCCCTTAGGAGATGGTGGTTTGGTGAATAGGGAGGATGACAGCGCGTTCCAGGTGTTGATGATGTTGTATGGAAAGGCGCGTCTTAGGTAGTTAGGAGCGCCTGGAGGGGGAACATTTTCCAGTTGGTAGGGGTGTGAAGCAGATTGTTGGCATTGTCTCCGGGTTACAGGTGCGGCACGGTGGACAAGGAGAGGAGGGATCATGGATCTCAGCAGAGGAGGACCTGGTTGGCCCAGTAGCTTGTAGACGAAAGTCAGCGCCGCCACTGTCCGTCGGGCCTCGAGGCTCTGTAGCAAGATTTTGGGTCCCAGGAAGTGGAGGGCACGCCTCTGCACTCTGTTAAGGTGTTCAAGGTTGGTGGGAGCAGCTCCCATCCAGACAAGGGGAGCGTACTCGAGCAGGGGCCAGACGAAGCCGTGATACACGGCCATCATGCCCCGGCAGTCCAGAACAGCTCTACGTAGGAGGCCAAGACGTGAGTTTGCCCTGGCAGCAACTGACCGGAGATGCGTGGAAAAGGATATCAAATATAATGCTAGCATTATCCGCCGAGGCCTAGTTCGGACGCCCGTTTTTTTCCTCAAACTGGAGCAACAGAAAGTTGAAGTTCCTGGCCCGCGATGATCGCTGAACGATGTGTTGATGCGCAACGGCTCGGAGCTCTGCTTTGCTCGGTGTCTGAATATGACCAGTTTAGTTGTTCCTGGCGGTCTGATCGAGCTGTTGTCTCGTTGATTAAGACCAATCGAGCATGTGTTTAAGTTTGATGTGAATAATGTCATAGCGTTACCGAAATATGTATATGTTCCCAAAGGGGAACGTTGGCCGGATTGTGTACCCAAAGGATGCTGGTTTTCATGAAAGGAAGATGCGACGTGATCAATTATTAATTTTCTATGTGTTAATGGAAGAAAAACCTTACACGCACCATCTTCAACTCAAATGGTCTCTTTGCTGCAAATTAGTGTTAGTGGTCCAAAATAAACGTGAAATACTACAGGTGGAGAACACAATTATGATGGTCATCGAGGAGTGTCAGTAACCACATGTCAGTGGTTTGCTGCTGATGCGTCACTGGTATATACCGTGACAGTTTTGTACCATGATCGAAATGCAGTTGAGCTCCACACTAGGAGCGTTTACACTTTTTGTTTTGTATGCACCACTTGCAATGATCATGTGTTGTCAACATGCTGTTGTGTCAAACACCATTCTAGCGCACATCAACTGGAAGTCTGGACACTGGTGATGCTGCACGGGGTCGGTTTTCATCAAACAGATGGCGATCTCAGGATGAAACTAGATGAAGGACATCGGCTTGGGGCTCACGGCTGTTTGGATAATTGGCACGCTCAGATTAGTTGCAAGAGGTTGGTACATTAGCCAGACAAGAAGAGTTCCAATGAATCCCTCAAGATAAATTGTTTCCGAGCTAGTGTTGTCCTTCAATGTCCTTGTCGCGGATATTGTGCGGTACTGACTCGTCCACTATTTCTAGAGAAGTACAGGGTGTACACCCCATGAGAGATCCACTGGTGATGACGTAACGAACTCGGGGTGATCGTCAATGGATGAGTCAAGTTGCATTTGAGGTTGGCTATCATCGTCAGCAGTCTATTTCACCCAGCGTGTTATTCCAGCTGGTTGCAGATTGACACTTTTCGCCGTCGTCCTCACAATAACAGAACAGCCACCAACGTCATCATCCTCTCCACTCCTTAGTCTCACAATTATCTAGCTCCATATTTCTAGCAGATTCCGTGATACGTTTATCATCCATCAAATCATCTGATTACTCGTCTTTTTTGTTGTCCACGTTCAGATTGCCAGTATTCGGTGGCACTATGACAAAGATCTGAAGGGTGCTTGAGTTCTCGACAGCTTCCTCAGCTTCCACTAGAGTCGCTATTCTTGATTACACTTCCAGGAAGGACTCTGCTACCATAGACATTTCCATCTGCTATACCCCACAACTATCTGCATTTTTAAGTCCAGCTGCCTTCGTGATCTTGACAGCTATGCCCGTGCCAGAAAACAATGGAGTAACATCTGCTCAGCCATTTAGTTTAGTACTGCTCTTCCCAAATTTGACCTTTATTACAAGAAGTGTGTCCTTGGGAGAATGAAATTGAAGACACCACTGCAGCTGTACTTATGGTTGATAAATATGGTGGTAAAGACACACCTGGCAATATGGCGGTAAACACACGCCTGCCCACACACGCTCTCTAGGCTGCAAAGTTCTGGCACAGAGCTCTCCTTCTCACCACCACCACCATCAGTTCGCGCCTGGCGCCTGGTCGATGCATGGCTGGCGGTATCCGGCATAGCAGGCTGGTACATCAAGTAGCGCATGGCACATAGATGATGACACAGCAACGACATACCTCGATTGCGACGTACAAATTCCGGTTGCTGCTCAGTGACACTGCAAAGGAAAGCGCAAGCCAAAGTCAGCGCAGCAAAAGCTACCCAAGGCGATTTGGGCGCGCATGCGCAGCAGTTGAGTGCACGTGTAAAGCCAGCTCAGTCGCAGCTAGCTAGCATGAGATAGAGAGCAGCGTATCGGTCTTATCGCTAACTAGGGTTAGCCCAAAAGCTAACCCAACATTTACAAGACTCTCCTTTTTCTTTTTCATTTCGTTTTCCCATTCTCACACACACAAGCTCACAGTCAATTCTGCCGTCGCGAGTCCCATTCGGGACGGATACGAGAAAATAAATTAATATTAATAATCCGGTGCTTGAGCATACCAAGACCAATGCAACGGTACAAGAGCATCCTGCACCCGAGGATAACGAGCCTGAAGCTAGAGATACTTCAGACGCCAACATCTCTCCGCAGGACCAGAAGATCAAGATTCTGTGGGATTTCACTATCTGGTGCAATCGCTTCATTGAGCACCGACGGCCTGACATTGTTCTGGTTGATGGACCTGCCAAGAATGCCCTGATCATTGACATTGCTGTACCTGGTGATCCACGCGTTGCTGGAAAGGAAGTTAAGAAACGTGCCAAGTATCAACTGCTTGCTCGCGAAATCCATCAGCTATGGCAAGTTGAGACTCAGATTGTTCCTGTGGTAGTTGGGACTTTAGGCACCGTTTCCACCATCGGTGTCACCAGCTACTGCTCTCTGTCTGAATTGCAAAAGAATGCTCTCCTTGGCTCTGCATCTATCCTGCGTAAGGTCCTTGATTCGTAATGCTCTGGGTTGGGTGGTGGAGTTCTTTCGGTCCGATTTTCCTCCAAACTCTCTCGTGTTCCTATGATCGATATTTAAAAAGTGTTGTGTGTTTCTCTCTGTTGTTTACCTACAATCATATTTAATATCCATATGATGCATGGCCCCACCTTTGGCGGCTGGATGCTAGCCCGGTGGGTGCCCATCTCCGGCCTTCGGCCGAGTGCTGATGGACACCACACTAAAGCTAAAGCGCTATTATCTGGAAGAAATACCACTGAATGTAGAAACAAGAGGCGAAAGTTCAAGAAAACCATATAAAGCATCCACACTTTGTTGCATATTGTTTACCGTATTTCCGGGATGTTAGCCGACCCCCCCATTTTGGGCCCAAAAATTCGTATATTTTCGGAAATTCGGAGTATAAGCAGCACATCAGAGTTTGAAATTTTGGACTTCCAAACTTGATTGGCCCTAATACATACAATACAAATTAATATAAATATATTAATTTTATAATACTCATAAAAAGGACACACTTCAGGCTCTTTACGAACATCTTGAAAGTTTTTGGTTTCACAAGTATACTTTCAAGCCTTCTCATCAGGTGAAATACAGGCAAAGGAAAAGGAACAGTGGATTAAGTACAGTAAGGAGGTGGTAAAACAGCGCAAAGAAGACTAAAGTAAACATTTGTATTATCGCATTTTTGTCTTAGAGGAAACTGTTTACTACATTAATTTCACTAATGGTTAAAAAGTTGAGAAGCACGACAGAAGTTCCAGCAAAAGTCTCTTTGTCAGTCCTCACTCTGAACTGACAGCATAGAAGCATTGCACAACTGCAGTGATGGATTACTGTTCATGAGAAGTACTACCTCCGACAAGCGGAACTTAGCGCGTTTTTTACTTCAAATTACTCGAAATAACTCACACTTTACATTCGAAAATAATGATTGACTTGCCAAAATACAACTAACTTTGTATTGCTCAACAAGGAAATATTCATTAGAGACACCAGTTACCGTAAAGTCGCAGATAAAAGCCGGGTTTGCATACAAGCACATCGCGGATCCTGAAAATCAAACGGGTCAAATGCATAAAAGCCTGTCGCGCGTAGAAGCCTGGCTTCTATGCAGGCGCGGATTGGGTAGGTCAAGAGTGCATGCGCTATGTACAGTGCATAGTAAAACTGCCGCCATACCGGTAGTCAGTAGTAGATCTATACGTGTCGCGCGTAGAACCCTGGCTTCTATGTGCACACAAGCCTGGCAAAAATATCAGTGGTGCATATAAGGATGGTTTGCATACAAGCCTGGTTTGCATTAAAGCCTGGTTTGCATTAAAGCCTGGTTTGCATTAAAGCCTGGTGCAGAAAGAGGCTTATATGCTTATAAGCCCGGCTTTTATCCGCGACCTTACGGTAGTCTGAATCATTCTCCTCTGACTCAGAGATCGCAGCTTCTTCTGGCGAGGAATTGTCCCTGTAGTGAGACGAAAATGCGACAGGAGTTGATTCAGTTGCAGCAAGTACCTCTTCTGCCGTGATCGCTCTGGAAATCTCGGTGTCGCGCGTGTGTGCTATGCTCAAGCCACAATGTCGAGGGTAGTCATTTCCACCGCCACTCTCCAGAATGCCGCGAATTGTGTAACACCTCCACATGCGCCTGGACTCCCAACCTTTTCGCCGCATATTCTCACCAACAATCCAAAATTGCCGGCAGCAATTCCTGGCAAATTTCGTTAGTCACCAGAGACGCATCGCTCGGAAGGCTATTGAAAGACGCTAGGTTGTTGGTATTTTCGCTCCTGCTCTTGTAGTAGTTGAACACTCTCATGTGGGGTAGTGCCTTTGCTGTTTGCATTACGCAGAGCTCACTGGCTTGTCAGTTTGAGCACTCTGGCAAGGTACGCTCGGGCCTGATTGGAAATTTTTATTTTCATTGCTATCAGGTTCGGCCTCATTTTCTCTGTGCTGCGCTGATGAGTTCACAAAGAACGAAACAGCATGCTGTCCGCAGATTGAGTAGGTTGTTGACATATACGCCTGGACTCTGTTCTGGCGGAGTGACCAGGTGAAGAGAGAGAACTCCTTGGTTTTGCATTGACATGCAAAGGCACGACAATTCTCCTTCGCAGAATGGAAGCCCGCACCGTTGTGCTGGTACACGAGAGACTGGTCTGCCTTAGCAAACCACCCTCTGAGTAAGTCTGAACTATGTGCCACTCACCAGCTTATCGCTTGGCTTCCTGCACCCGGTGGCATCGAGCTACAAGTAGGTCATACCTCACAGCTTTGTGAAGTTGTGGTACCAACACAAAAGCAAAAAAAAACGCCAAGTTTCGCTTGTCGGAGGTAGTAGTACATAAGAAGAAGTCGAATGACACCATAATTATCATAAACTCATTGCACATTGTACTTACGTGTTAGTGGCTTATGCTACGAATGAAATGCTCTACATTTGCCAAAGCATGCACCTTCACATACTTAAAATAAATACATATGTTATGCAAACAAGCGTTTCGGAGACATTTGATACGGATACCGCGGACAGTCGCGAAGTAATTATGTTTTAAAATTAGTTGTTTTTAGAGAAAGAAGAATATCCTTTTTGTGTTCGGTGGGATTGAAAGATCTGCCAGTTGGCCGGAGAGCTACAACACTGGAAGGAGAAGAAAGGGCTTGCGGAATCTTCTCTGTCTTCATGGCAACAGGACTTTAGTTTGCGAGAGACTTCCGTCCTGTCATCGCGGACGGAATTCTTGTTGCTGCTACCAGAAAATTCGGAGAACGAAACAATCGTAAGTCATTTGGTGAAGCGGGTTGTGTCGGTAAACAAATGCAGAACGTTCTGGCGCCGTGTAACAGCAGTCCAAACACGTTTCAACTTCGGAGAATGAAGCGCTTCCCTATTCCGTTGACAAGCACGGCATTCGCGGGTATATATGTAATGCATTTTCGCATCAGCTTGCAGTAGATCGTCAGGAGCCAGAGGTACTAGGTAGGTGTCGTTGTGGAAAGAATATGTTGTTGTAGCTGACAAGTGACATGCTTGTAGTGTCTCTTGACCGTGCTGATCGCCAGAACTAAAAATATGGTAGATATTGGAATTTTTTAGTTCTGGACCCAGTGATCGCCACCAGCACTGTTTCTGTCAAGTTTGTAGTGAATGCGTCCATGAGGAATCTATCATCTGGTTGTCTCTACCCGTGACTCCAACCGCCAATCGCAATGGATAGTCGCCCGGAGTTTTGGGGTGCCAGCTGCTAGGCATCAAGTCTGAACCAAATAATTGTATGCTCCTTGCAATGAAAGTAACTTAGTTGTGATGTGTTGTACAAGTTCGAAGATCCTTGAATTTTTTAATTGCTTTTTTGGATGAATTGGGTGGACCATCCTGGACGAAAAGTGGTACGACCATGGCGGTAGTGGTCATACCGTGTGTGACGCCCCTGATTCATCACTTGCTTCACCAAAAGCCTATGCATACATAAAAGAGAGCAACCAGAGTGCCAGGTAACAACACCAGGACATGACTCATGGGTCTGCTGGCACAAATCAGTTCATCTGGATAAGTCGAAAAGGCAAACCTGTACTACTAGTATACCTGTAATGAACTATAGAGTGATTACCTCTTGATTGCTAAGTACAGTACGGATGTACTTCAATATGATGGACACAACCTCTGTATGCCATCCTTGCAATGCCAGATCAAGTGGAGTATCATAGACCTAAAAGATAACAACACAAAAAAAGCCACCCAAAGGTGCACTGTGCTGTTAGAACCCCAGTTCAGGTACCCATTTTGGACCCTTTTCAAATTTCAAATTCTGCAGCACTGCACTCTGTACGATAAAATCACTAAAAATTGCCAAATACGGGAGCTCGCCAGAGCCAGGGCCTATCTTGTTATGACTAGACTGTAGTTTAACTTAGTAACTTAGTTTATGCATTCAAGTCGAGAGGTCTAGGGTTGCACGCATGGTATGCAGCGCACAGACTTTGTCCGCCTGCGAATATTCGAATTTTCGAACCTTCAACCTAGATTATATCCGATCGATTCCAGGTTTGGCGCCATGGTGCTTTTTCTCTCCCTCTTCACTCTTGCTGTGGTCTTGCGCTACCGTCGCTATCGCCTTTAATGACTCGGTAACACTGCCCTGTTATCGCCTCTATTCTCACCTATATCCGTTAACTCTCACAAAACAACTCAATACCATTGTCCCAATGCCACGTCTTCACTTCGCACATATGCACTAACTTCCACACTAGCATCAAATATCTAGGCCTGCTCGTAGAGAATTCGATAGTGAATGCTGCTGTCTGATGATCGCTCCGATGCGTGAAACTTTAAGTTACAGCTAACACAGCCTTTCGCCTCTGTTGTGTGTCTATCCGATCGATTATTCGTTGAGGACTTGAGGGGCAAGAGATCGAGGAAATTCGAATAATCGATTACTCGTTCCATCAATAATTTCTACCGAATGAGCCGAATGAGTACGCAGGTTATGCAGTATAGGGATCCAGCATATGTTCCTCAGCATAAAAGCAAGCAAAGAATAATGAGTACATGGGCAACGGAAACAACTTCAAAATGCAGCAAGGGATTGTATGAGTGCACACAGGTGTGACAAAAACTTTGGGCTATTGCAGCAGTGGACAGCACAACAGAGAAGGCGACAGCAACAGTAGGGAGGGGGGTGATGCTGACCAGGGTTGGGAAGCGTTACTGTCCCGGTTTCCTTCATCCAGAGAGTAAGACCAGGGTTCCCGGACTTTCTCAATAGAACAAAGTGTACGTTCCAGATGGAGCGATAACTAGACCAGCAGGTAGCGCATAGACATCACTCAGTCGTGGCAGTCGGCAATGCGCGAGGTGAGGTAACATGATGACAAACTGCACAACTCCATTGTTGTCACGCCAAACCAATTCATGGAGGTTAAGTCACTACTTTGATTGTGCCAAGTGTGCGAGACACCCCAGTAAGCTGCCAGGCCAAGTCAACTGGTTAAACCTTTATGTGTCTTGATCTCGCCTGTGCATGCCATCCTTATGTTTTTCGGTGCTGGATCTGAACTTGAGTATTTATTTATTTTTTCCTCTTGCTGTCCTCTGATGCTTCATAGCGCTTTCAGTACCAAGCCATTACCTAGGCCATGCAACAGAGTGCGTTCGATTATGCCCGCGAATCGATTCATGAATCGATTCGCGCTATTCGCATTACCCCATGTGAACGGACTGGAGCGTCGCAGAACAACAGCAGCAGAACTAACAGTAGCAGGATTCGAAGCAACAGGACTATCATGACTCAAAGAAACTGTAGGTACAGGAGACAGTGAAGAAGAAGGCGCTGCAGGAGAAGGCTCGGGTACAGAATCATAAACTAAAGTGGCGGTAGAAGAATGATTAGTCGGCGAAGACAGACTAGGAGACTGAGAATAAGAAAATGACTGTTGATGACGGACTGGAGCTGATGTTAAAGATTCTGGTGAGCTGTGGCCTGGCATTCGTAGATGAACATGGTCAGCATGCCGTTTCCACAGATGACCATTATCTAGACGCACTCTGAAGGTCAAAGGACCACGGCGTTCTTCGAGAGCACCAGGGAGCCACTTCGGGGACGAGGCGAAGTTCATCACCCAAACTGCATCACCGCACAGGAACTTGGATGCCGATGGTGTCCGACCACCGCACATGCTGGCTTACTTGGATTCCACCTGTGCACCGATATCAGAAAACACGAGGTCAATGCGAGAGCGAGGCTTCCGCTGAGACCACAGGAGCTGGAAATGTGTCTGGCTCGTCGCCGAGCGACGATACAAAAATAGGAACTTGTGCAGCGGTGACTCTAAGTCACCAGAGGCGACCTTGCGAATGTCTCTCTTGACTGTTTGCACGGCTCTCTCAGCGAGACCATTAGTGGCAGGATGGTATGGTGAAACAGGGACATGCTTGATACCATTGGACTGGCAATACGCAGCGAATTCAGACCTGCTGAATGCAGGACAGTTATCTGTCACCAGACATGACGGCAGTCCAACACTAGCAAATGACCGGTGAAGCTTACGGATGGTAATAGTTGATGTCGCTCCAGACGTGACATGCGCTTCAATGTACTTGCTGTGGCAATCTACCAGAATCAAGAGCATCTTGCCATCGATAGGGCCAGCGTAATCCATGTGGACGCGAGACCATGGCCGACCTGGCCATTCCCACGGATGAACAAAACTTGGGTTGGGCGACTTCTGAGCCTCCTGACATGATGAACAGCTTCGGACTGCGTGCTCGATCTCTGTGTCGAGGGATGGCCACCAGAAATAGTTGTAGGCCAGCGCTATCATCTTCGTGATGCCTGGGTGTCCATCGTACAGCTGATGCAGTAACGACTTTCTGCCAGGAGCGGGAATGATGACACATGAGCCAACCAGAAAACAACCTCAAAAAATCTCATTTGCAGAGCAAAGCACTGGAGATTCACAAGCTGTGCGCCGTGCATGGCATTCAGTTGCTGGCAGAATGGGTGCCTCGCGAAGAAAATGAGCTGGCCGATTACCTTTCAAAGCTGTCTGATACGGATGGCTGGCAGTTAAATCCCAAATTGTTCGATTGGCTGGATTCGATGTGGGGCCCTCACAACATTGATTGCTTTGCAAGCAGCAGAACAAAGCAAATGAGTAGATTCTGCTCAAGGTGGTGTAACCCGGGGTGCTCGGGTATTGATGCATTCACTGCGAATTGGACCGGAGAAAGAGTTTGGCTGGTACCACCAATGTACTTGACAGGGCGTGTGGTAGATATGTTGATCGTGTCACAATGCCATGGTACTTTGGTTGTTCCAGAATGGCAATCGGCGCCATGGTGGCCAAAGTTGCGTAGCGGCCCAAAGTGGGCAGAATTCGTTAAGGAGGCAATCAGCCTGCCAAAGTCTGGTGATACCTTCCTGGAGGGTACTTGTCCATACAATTTCTTTGGTGGCAGTGTGAGTCCTTGTGACGTGTATGCACTACGCATTTGTACAGTGACAAACTGTGTTTGTTAGAAGAGGGATGCTGAAATTCCCCGGCCGCTGGAGTTTGTCTCTGACGGAAAGATGTCTGTTTGTGGAGCATGTGGTGATGAGCGAGAATGCGTGCATGCAGTGTCTGCGAGGTCTTGCTGCAGGATGTCCTCCCCACTGTGGGGAGGTGATTGTGCTCTGAGCACGTAAGCAACTGCCTGGTAGTGGAAAGCTGTGGGTGCGGGTGATTTGCAGGAGTGGTGGAAGATCGCCAGGTATAGCGACGACATCCCCCTGGGGGAAGAAGGAAGCTGACGAGTCGACTGCACTGACATAGCCAGCTACGAAGCGTTGACAGAAACCATTCTATTCTCTGTTCAGAACCAGCCAAGGACAACCTCTCAGAGGACATGAAGGCGCTTGAACAATGTCTGCCATCCATTATGAATATCAGTCGGGCACCAAGAACTGTGAAGAAGTACGACTCTGCTTTCTGTAGATGGAGCAAATGGGCAGAGCGTCAGAAGGTGCCTCATCTGCCAGCAGACCCACTTCATTTAGCCCTATATCTGGTCTACATCATGCAAGATGCCAAAACTGTCAGCCCATTGGTCTCAGCCGTGTGCGCCTTGTCATGGAAGCATGATATCCAGGGATACCCAGACCCATGCTCTAACGGGGTGGTGAAGAATGTGATGCAGGCAGCCAAACGCTCTCTGGCTCGACCGAAGGATAGAGAATTGCCATTAACAAAACCACTTCTGGAGCACCTCCATCGGGAACTGTCAAGCTCATCACTGCAAGACCTGAAGACCCTAACCCTCATAGTACTGGGTTATTCCGGTATGATGAGGTGGGATGATTTGGCCAGCATCTTCGTGGACGAGGTAGCCATCAAGTCATCGCATATGGCGGTCTTCCTGCAAGTTCGCAAGAACGACCAACTGAGGCAAGGTAGCTCGGTGTTCATCAGCCGGTGGGAGAGTGACCTGTGCCCGGTATCGCTAGTGGAGCATCTGATTGAAAAAGGAGGGCACCAAGGTCATGTCAAGCTGTTTGAGCGTATAGCTTGTGTAAAGGGCAGGACCGCCATCAGGCACTCGCTATCCTACAGCAGAGCAAGAGAGCTAGGGCGTAAAGCTCTGAAGCGTATCGGCGTAAACCCAGATGGGTATGGTTTACACAGTTTGAGGTCGGGAGGTGCATCCACGGCTGCTGTAGCAGGAGTACCAGATAGGCTTATTCAGCGACAGGGAGGATGGAGAAGTGATGCTATGAAGGCTTACATTCAGGAGTCCCTGCCCAATCTGCTGCAGGTGTCCCAAGTGCTAGCTGTGTGACTCTGCTGCTATACTTTAGCGTCCTTGCTGTGGCTGTCCCCCGCAGTTGTTTATTCTGTGATGATTGTGTGTATGAGTGTGTGTGTGGGTGAGAGAGACAGAGAGTGTGTGTAGGTGTGTGTGTGTGTGTGTGTGTGTGTGTGTGTGTGTGTGTGTGGGTGTGTGTGTGGTGTGTGTGTGTGTGTGTGTGTGTGTGTGTGTGGTGTGTGGTGTGTGGTGTGTGTGTGTGTTTGTGTGAGTATGTGTGCAGTACTGACTTGTGAGTGAGAAAAGAAGCATAGCAGCTCTTGTCCTGTGGAGAAAGTCAAAGCGTTTGAGATGAGGCGCGACCAACTTACAACCTTCCTTGAAATATTTCGGCACGTTTTTTTGCGTCCATTGACATCAGCGACG